TCCTGCATCCGTGCAGTGCATCCGTGCAGTGCATCCTGCACCCATGTGGTGCATCCTGCATCCATGTGGTGTGTCCTGCATCCGTGCAGTGCATCAGTGCAGTGCATCCTGCATCTGAGTGGTGCATCCATGCGGTGCATCCTGCATCCATGCGGTGCATCCTGTATCCATACGGTGCATCCTGCATCCATGCGGTGCATCCCACATCCATGCAGTGCATCCTGCACCCATGCAGGATGGTTCTCCCTGCAGTGGGTGTGGGGGACGGGCGTCTCTCGTGGACTGTGTGTGCGGGGAGGATGTTTCATTCTGATGCGTCCCTGGTTGCTTTGCAAACTTTCCATGGAACAAATGTATGTTTGCAGGGCTGACATTTGGCTGGATGACACTCCAGACAGCTTGTTTATGTGCGGCTGTAATTTATGCAACTTTATTTAAATATTTGGGTTGCCGCTTTCCCAAACCTCCGTTCTGCTCCATTCCAGTCTTTCAGCAAGATGTTACAGGAGCAGATCGGGGCTGCGTGATGCTTCAAATCTTACTTTAGGCCGGCTTAAGTCACCTTCCAGCCCCTGTCCTGGCTGCTGATGGCACCTGAGCACCCACGTGGGTCCAAAGGTGGTGACTGTCCTAGACTGGCCTTGCGTTCGCATACCGACCATTAGGATTTTGTTGTGCGAAGGAAAACATTCCTCTTTGAGATGAATATTTGTGGGGGGAAAAAAGGTATTTTGGGGGAAAATCCTTGAGAGGTGAGACCTGCGCCAGCGCTTGGAACTTCCAAATTCCAAATAACAAATAATCCAAATGACAAATAAGTTGTCACGTGCTGTGATAGCGTGGAGGGGAGCTGCACAGCTCCCGTCAGCCCTTCCTCGGGCAGCACTGCATCCCTGCATCCCTGCATCCCGCCGTCCATCCCTGCTCCTGCTGGGCAAGTGAGGCTCTGTTTTCTCCAATTTCCATCCCTACTGGCGCCTAAATCCCCGCTCCACACAGAGGCACCTTGACTTCCACTGCGCTTCTTGGAGAGGTGCAAGCCAAAGAAGAAAAAAAGGAATCAGATCAGCAAAACCCCATCATTTTCCTGGCTCAAGCAGGCAAAAACTAGGATTTTTCCTGCTGTTTTCTGGAAAGTCTGTTATGTAAGTCAGGCAGTAGCAGCACAAGCCGCTATTGCACAGGGTACCGTGTTGGCTTTTATTCCCAGAAAAAAGAGGAGCGTTTGCCATGGCAACCTAAGGCCGCGTCGCTGCGGTGGAGGGACCGCTGGGCGCGCCCGGCCGCGCTGCACTGCTCCAGGGAGGCCGGGGGGCCCCGCTTCACAGCCCTTGTCACCCGTCCCCCGGAGCGCTGCGCTGGTTTGGCACCCGCTCCGATTGTTGCCTCTTGTCCCGCGTTACACCAGGGCTGTAGGCACGAGGACTGAGCACCCCGGTTATCCCAGAGGTGGGATTTGGTGGCTGCTGGGGTGAAATACGTGGGATTTGGTGAGGTCGGAGAGCGGGAGCTCTTTGTGCTGGGGAAGGAGGCCGGAGGCAAGGTCGGGATCTCAGCAGCCCAGCCGCCGCGTGTGTCCCAACCGCTTTGGCCCCTTGGTGGGCTCTGCAGCAGCTCCTGCGCGGGCTCTGGGTGGATGCGGGATGTGTCCATCCCTCCCCGAGACCCGTGGAGCCTCCCTGGCCTCCGAGACTCCTGTGTTTTTGTGGCCTCTCTACCTGGGGCTCCTTTCTCGGCGAATCTCCGCGGCTCTCCCAGCCCGCGCGCGGGCTCCTCTCCATGCAGACACTTCTCCCAGTCTGCGGATGCTTTTCCCATTACTGTTCTGGCTGGGCTCCACGCACCAAAAGGGCTGGGAAAGGCACAAGCCAACACTGCCCCCCTTCCCTCCCGCTTTTTTGGGAAACGAAGGCAGAGCGGGCCCGCAAATGACATAATGAGCGCATGACATCAGCCTTGGCAGGCGGAGGCGGGCTATACTCTGCTCGGCATTATATGTTCCGTGGAATTAAAAAAAAACCCCAGCAGTGCACCAAAAAAAGCCTGTCCACCGCAGGAATAAACCCGCGGGGCCGCAGAGCGTGGCCATTCCCGGCTCTTCCTGGGCACGATTCCACGGGAACGGGCCGAGCGAGCGGGCGGCGCCGGGCCCGGAGCGGCCTCCCGCGGCAGCCGCTCGCCCCGCGGCTCTTGCGCAGGCCGTTCCCTGGGAGCGGCTCCGGGCACGCTGAGCTGGCCGTGCCGATGGAGAGGCCCCCGGCCCCGCGCCGGGATCAGCGCCGAGCAGGGAGCGCCGAGCGGAGCTGGGACGCAGCTCCCGCCTCCCGGGTTTGCACTGGTGCCCGCCTTGCCCAGCGTTCAGAACGGCACCTTCCCCGCTGGAGCTGCTCCCTTCCAGAGGCCGTTCCTTTCCACAAGCCTTTCCGTATGTGCCCGGCTCTGCGCACCAGGAAGCCTCGTTTGCCGCGGGCTTCAGCTCCGGAGCCGCTCCAGCCTGGCACTGGGCTGGAAAAACAGAGTCGTGGTGGTCTGTGGCCCCCAAAGGCTGAGCTCGGCCCTGCAGCCTCCGCGTTGGGTTTTACTGCTCGGTAGCTCTTTCCTGATCTTTTTTTCTTCCTTTTTTTATTTGTTTTTTAAATTCTGCAGCCTGCTTTGGTTCATAGCCATCTTTCCCAAGCCAGAAAGGCCTAGTATTATTTTTCCATGCAATTTGGAGCGGAACCAGGGGGAGAAGGCAGGCGGGGCGGCAGGAGGCCCCGCTGGCGGCAGGTGATCCCGGCGGAGGGTCCCCGCTCCGGCCTGTCCCGCCACCAGGCTCCTTCCCTCCCTTGCGGGCGCTGCGGAGGTTGAAACCTGGCAGCTCCATCCTGGTGCCATCAGACCGGGAAGGCCAAGCTGGAGGGCAGCCAGGAGCGAGGCTTTGCTCCGTACCGAGCAACACGTTGCCCTCTAGTGACTGCTCCGCGTGGAGGATCCGCATGGGGATCCTCCGGAGCCGGGTGCTGGGGTGGCCCGCAAGGCGAGGGCAGCGCGTGGGGCGGTCGCAGCTCCGAGGACACGTCGGGTGGCAGTCGTTGGGATTCCTCTGTGTTTGCTTCTTCCATAGGAACCAAACGCGGTTGTGGAGGCACCTTCCTGGTGGGACGTGGTGCAGACCGCGGCTCTCCTGGGTTGTGCCGTGCCAGCCAGGGCCTCCGTGGCAGCTGCGCTCCCCACTACCCTCAACATAGAGGCTTGCTTAGATATTTTGGCTGTCGTCTTCTTTTTGGTGTATGTTGCAGTTCTACTTTGCACATTTCTTGGACTTTCCTGTTCGTGTTGGTGGTTCTTAGCTTGGCAGAGCGCTCCTGGACAGCAAAATCAGGAAAAATAACCTCCAGCCTTGCAAGGAAACATCCTTGTTACTTATCCTCACAGTTTCCCAGAATCATAAGTAATTTTTCTGGCAGTCTGACATAAGTCTCTACATACTGCTGAATTTAGTCTAAACGTAAAGTTTAAATGTCAGATCTAAACAAAAAGGAATTGATTAAGGAGTAAAAATAGAAGATGAGACAGCGAGGAGGAATTACGGGAGATGTGCTAGGAGAGAAGGTGGGAAAGGGAGCAGGGCAGCCTGTCCGGCCCTCTCCGCTTCCCGGGAGCTCTCCCGAAATCCTGGAAGGATAAAACCCATTGCCTGGGCCCGAAGGAACTCATCTGGAAGAGAAGAAGTGGTTTTGCTCTGGATGAGCTGAAGGCTGTCAGTGTTACAGGGAGCAATCAAAGGGTTTCTTAAGCAATATTCCTTTTATGGGGAAAATCTCTCCCGGAGATTTTAAAGAGAAAGTATTTTTGGTTACTTCTTTTTTTTTTAAAGCTTTTTCAAATAGAGACAAAAAGATACTAAAGACCGAAAGTTGAATGCATCAGTTCTATAGTTAATTATCAGTTCTTCAGTACTAGGAATGAACTTGAAAGTTCCTTAGAAAGTTTTCTTTAGAAATTAATTACTACTTTAAATTATCTCTTAATTACTTCTTTGAAGATACAGTAGACTTGATTAATTTTTAAAAGGATGCCTGAAATCTAGTGGCACGTTTGTCATGTCTGTAATTACTCTAGCTGTGCTACAGAATGGTATGCACATAGAGATAGTCCCAACCTATGTGTGCCCGTTCTGCAGCCTGGAGCAGCGAATGCTGCAAAGGGTGTTCTCTTTGGCTAGAACTGCTCTGCTTTAAGGCCCCAAGAACCTCCTGTCTGGAGCCTGGGTAAGGTTGGAGACAGGCTCTTCTAAGCCCGAGCAATGGGAGAATGACAAAATGAAGTTGAATGATAAGTGAAATCCGTGTTTTCTTTCTCTAGGGATCTTTCCAGGAACAAGATCAGCGGTTTAGATGCTCAGATGTTCAAAAGCCTGACTTCTCTGGCAAAACTGTGAGTAGACGCAGCAGATTGTGCAGCTAAGTGTCTGAGCGTGCCCGTGAGCCGAGCTGGGAGGGCGCGTTTGGCACCTGAAACCCACCCGAGGGTTTCCCGAGGGCCCTGTTCCTGGCCGCCGCGGTCGCGGAGCCCCGGCTCCCCTGGCTGCAGGTGAGGTGTAGGTTCCTTCCTCCTGGGGACCTGCGGCCGCAGAGCCCAGCGGGTGGCCCTTCGCTCACGGGCCTTCGGAGCACGGGCAGGGTTTGCTGGGCTCTGCCGCCAGACAGGAGGTGAGACTGCGGCAGAGCAGCAAAGAACCACATCTGTCACCAGGTGTGTGGCAGGGCATGCAGGGGGTGGTAAAGCTGCACTGTCGAGATGCCAGGGAACCTCCTGGGGAGCATCAGCTGTTTTTAAGAATCAGCTATCAGATCCGAAGAGGCAGCAGCAGAGGTAGCACCAAAACCCAGGCTGGTGCTTCTAGCAGAGGGGCAGACAGCCCAGACAGCCCTCCCTATTTACATCTCCAAATGTGGAAGGAGAAGGAGTCCTGGGAGGAGTTGGTCATGTGCACGTGGTTTTGTCACTTGCATATTTGTGTCCGAAAGGGTGTCCGAAAGGGTGACCAGTCCCTGAGCAGAGTAGATGCTGCCTGTTGACCAGGAAGGTGTTATAGGCATGAACGGCAGTTACTAAACTCTCCTTCTTGTTTTCCTTCTTTTACAGAGATATAAGCCACAACAAGATTTCTACATTAGAAGATGGAATATTTGATAATTTATTTAATTTAAGTGAAATGTAAGTTCTCTGTGTCCTGCAGTTCTCTGTGCAGAGCTTTCCTTGAGGTAGCTCTCCCCTTTGCAGTGGGATGGGACGTAACCGTAAGCGTTCCCTTTGGAGGTGGGGGGGACGTAACCAGCCTCTTCAGCATCGCTGGTGGAGTCGAGACCTTCCCCCTGGGGGTCGGAAGCCCCCAGCCCGCTGAGCCCTGTGCTGGCTCTGCCCCTTGCCAGGGCTGCCTTGGAGAGTGTGTGACAGCACAAGCCTCGGCTTTCTCTCAGACACTGTCCCAGCCTGCGAGCTGCTGGGGAAGCTGGGTCAGTGCTTGGCGGCTCCTCTGCTCTGGAGGGGTGGGTGGATGCTCTGACTCCCACTTTTTCATTCCCAGGCCTCCCTGATGTTACCCTCTCCAACTGCGGCTTCCTCACCCGCCCGTATTCCCTGCAGCTGCATTTCCAACTCTCTCTGGCTTCTTCTTCGAGCTGTCTTCTCCTCCTGGGTCTTGTCGGTGCCCTTCAAGCCTGACCTCCTCCCAGACTTTGCTTCTGTCTCCTGAATATCTCCAAGCTCTGCTGCTATCTCCATGGCTCCCCTCCTTCTCTCCCACACCGACTTTGCAGAGGTTCTTGTTTGGCCACGCTCCAGGCCGCTCTATTGTCCCTGTGTGTATGGTCACACTTTAGAACGGGAGACCTGGTGTAAAGGGCACTGAGCTCCAACACAGGGGAGCCTTATGGAGGTGTCCAAATCACTTGGAGGCACTTGAAGACGTTCACCCTAAGCGATTCCGGTGCCTACAAGGGTTTTCAAGCGAAGGAGTTACAATCTGTGCTGACGGGGTGTGAAGGGAGGCGAGGGATGGCACGCGCTTCCAGGGGAGCTGCAGGGAAGCGCGGGGCAGAGTGACAGCTCTGAATCCGAGGGATGTGCCAAGGGATGAGCCTTGGAAGCGAGCGAGAGAAGAGCTCGGCCACACGCTCTCCCCGCAGTCAGAGCACGAAGGGCATCTTCTGCTCTGCATTTTCATTTATAAAGGGCAATGACAAGATAGAAGGAATCTATACTAGCTGCTAGTGAATCAGTCCCTACTACCAAAGCTGGCCTGCAAAGTGCTGCTTTTAGTGTGAGAAAGCCTGGGTTCAGCCCCTGCGGCAGCCCAGGCCAGCCGGCGTCAGCTAAATAAACATCTTTCCATCTCTGTCCTGCTCCCAGCTGAAAGCCAAAGACTGCAATTTGGATCAGACTTGCCTGCAATTAGAGTTTCCATCTTTTCAATAAACTGCCACATGGAAAGATTGTCATTGCCTTTGCATTTCTTTTTGACAGATCAATTTTACCCTCTTAGCTATTTTTTAATGGAGCTGTAAATAGTCTCCCTTAGCGGTATAGGCTGCCATTACATCCAGTGGCTGTTAGATGGCAGACTATTTTGAATATAAGATTATGTCTGTAATTTACTTCTAATTGCAACAATTATTTGTAGAGGGGAAAATGTACTTGGAGTACTTGCCTAATTCTAGCCTCTAGAAAAATCATGTTAATTACTGCTTGATTCCCTATTCATTAGCTCCCCTGGCAGTTCCCTCTGGAGCGCAGCACTAGGGTGTGCGGATGGGAGCAGTGAGGGACCTGCACGTTGGTGCAATTAACACTCAGCACACACTGCCAAGCTAACGCATAACTCTCCTCTGATCTCCCCGTTGCAGAAACTTAAGTTTGAATCCATTTACTTGCGACTGCAAACTTTCCTGGTTGCCCCGCTGGGTGGAAGACAGAAGAGTTAAGGTTCTGCAGGCGTCAGACACCAGATGTGCCCACCCCGCCGAGGTGGCAAACCTTTCTCTCTTCAACGTTTCCTTCGTCGGCGCTGCTTGCGGTAAGGAGCCTGGGGGCTCTGCTGGGGGGTCACTCAAGCTGTGGAACAGCGAGCACAGGGAGCAGTGAGCCTGGCTAGAGCTCTCTGTCCCGTAAGTCGCTGCTGCTGATCTAATTAAACAAGTAATGGTAATGAGTGACTGTGCTCTGATGATGCCTGGAGGATAGGGTCATTGGTCACAGGGCTGAGATCAGCAAACTCATTACACACTGAGCTTCAAACAAGCATCAGATGCTTCTCCCTGGCCAACCTCCAGCCTTAAGCTGCCATCCTCGAGCATTTCGGAACCTGTCCGACTTTGAGCAGGTTCTTGGAATCCTGGAGATTTCAGGAGATCAGAAAACATTGCTGAGGGATCAAAACTTGCCAGACAAGACTGAAAAAGGCAATGTTTGGACTAGGAACTGTGCAGGCGAAGACCCTCCCCAAGGCAGGGCGGTGTCCCCTACAGGGTTTCACCAAGTCCTGGCTTCACAGTGGTTTTTGCAAGCAGATCCTCGGTTCTCTCCCCAGGAGCTCAATATATAGCATGTCTGACGAGCAACGACACGGGAGAGGCTGAGTTCGTCATCCTCTTCACGTCTCTTTTCCCTGGGAACCTCACTGAGGAGACCTGCAGTGCCCTCTGCTACGCCGAAGACCAGGACTATGGAGGCTTCAGCGCGCAGGGGCTGTGTTTGTGTGGCACTGCCCACGAAGCGAACTCTTCCTCCGACTGTTTGCCCTTTTGCACTGAGCACTTGTCCGGGCAGGTGTGCGACGGACCGTCCCTCGTCCCCTCTCCCTTCCAGGCACGGCTGTTTGCGTCTTTCACAGCCCTTCAGCCCCGGTACAGCCTCCACCAGCCCGTGCTCCTCAATGTCAGTATTCCTGTTGCTGCCAGCACTTTACAGTGGGAATTTGGGGACCACTCCGAGGTTCTCAACACCACTGGGAATGCAGCTGTCCACACCTATGTCTTACCCGGACGGTACAATGTCACTGCCACCCTCTTTGTTGGCACTAAGGTCTCCTACGTGCAGGCAGAAATTGAAGTGGTGGCTTCACCCCAAGAGGTAGAGCTGCAGTGTCCTTCCCTGCTCAAGGCAAACGAGAGCCTGGACATACGGATCCGCAACAGAGGTGGCACCGGCCTCGTGGTGACCTACAGCATCACGGCAGAGCTGGGCCGAGGTGAGCAGGGAGCGCGGGGGCCGGCGGTGCTCGGGCGCCCGTCTGCTTCATGTTGTGCAGGGATCAGGGCTGTGTGCTGTGACGTTCGACACCAAACTGAATTCACCAGCTCCAGGATGAGCAGGGCGTTGCAGGTGCCTTGCACCCCTGCTCTGTTCAGTCCTTGGCCAGTTTTATGGTGTGTGTTGCTCCCTGGGGTGGGTTGGATCTGCTCGGTGTGCATGGAGACCATCAGCATTTTACCAGCTCGGTGCCTGACGTCTCTGCGTCGCTCCTCATACTCTCCCTCCCTCTGGGTTAGTCTCTTTTTGTGCACCACGAAAGGGCCCATGTGGTCAGGTGAGGAATTCCAGCAGCGTGGTGTGTGTGCGAGGTAGGGGCAGCCAACAGTGGGTGTCACCCTGGTGTCACAAGCTGAGGGATGAATTCCTGAGCAGGCAGCAGCCAGATGTGCTCAGCCTCCATGGGAGCCATCCCAGGGCATGATGAGCGTGCCGGCCCGGCTGGCATCACACAGCATCCTTGGGGGCCGTGCGGTGGGGTTGGCACGTACGGGCCCATGGGCAGGACCTCATGGCTGTGTTTTCCTTTGCCACGCAGCAGTTCACCCGCTGTGCCCCCCGGACGGCTTGGTTTTCCCGGGCAATAACCACTGCTACCGGCTGGTGGTGGAGAAGGCCGAGTGGCTGGAGGCGCAGCAGCACTGCCAGGAGCGCGGCGGCGGCGACCTGGCCTTCGTCAGCAGCCCCGAGATCCAGAGCTTTCTGGTTGCTCGTGTGATCAGGTGAGTGATGGGGTGAAGGCTGAGCTGGCCAGGGGGGCTCTCGTAGTCTTTGGGTTGCGGAGGTGTCCAAGGAGGACCCGGGCGCTGCAGAGACCCGTGGCCCCCGGCCCGCTGCTGTCGCCAGGCTGGAGACCCGCGCTGCAGACGGAGCACAGGGGGATGCAGGGAGTGCTCAGCGAGGAGGAGGCGTGAGCAGAGCTCAGCTTGGCTGCCTTGGCTGTGAAGGCAAGAAGTGCAAAGGGGCAGAAGGACCAGAAGTTGGACCTGGCAATGGGCGTTTGCTGCTGGTGGGCACCTCGCGCCCTGTGTGTGTGTCTGGGGTACATCTGAAATGCTGCAGAGAGCTGCAGCGAGGAGCAGACAGCTCTGGGCTGAGCGGGATCTCCGACTCAGGCCGGACGGTGGATGGGGTCAGGTGCTGGTGTCTGGAGGCCGTCTGGCTTCCCCGGCAGAGCCTGGGGGTGATCTTGCAACCAGCGACCTTGCTGAGCAGCCGTGCAGCGAGCAGAGCGCCTCGTGTCACTGCGACAGCGAGCAGCCGCCTCCAGCCCACACCGTGATCCTGCCGCAATCCTGCATCCTCCCAGACTGTCTGACACCTTCCCCTCTCTTTTCCATCTGGAGACGGAGCAGCTTCTCGCTCAGTGTCCCGCTCCAGCGACATCTGTTCCACCTCAGGACTTGGGCTTTAGAAACAGGCAGCACTGAAAGTGTCGGCTTTTGATTATATCCGTCCTTCTAAATGCCCTGTCTGCAGCAGCCATCTCCAGAGGAGGGTGACCAGGAGAGCTTCCGAGGCCTGACAGCCTCTGTCAGCACTCCCAGATGCAGATGTTGGAATGTCCTCTTGATGAACGTGGCGCGGCGAGCACAGGAGAGGAGCACAGCTGCATGTGACGTAGCTTGGGGCCTGCCTGCGCGCGGCCTCCCAGCCCTTCTCCCCACACTTGTATTCCTGCCCTGTTCCCTTCGCACTGGGATTTATCCTGAGATAACAAACATGTGCTCCCCGTTCCGGGCAAGAGGATTCTGTCCCTTCCAGCGGGTTGGGAACTGGCCGCTTGGTGCGCTGATTTATCAGGCGTTGCGTGCGGGGCTTTTGATGGACTGCACTGCGAGGAAATCATGAGACCTCAGAAGGGAATGAGCTGCCCAAGCTGTTTCCCAGCTGCTGCTTCGCGTTGTTCCCTCCCCAGCCCCTCTTTATTTCATGTATTTATTTTATTAATCCATTCAGATAAACATGAATGAGATGGTTCCAGGATGCGATTTCCCTAGCGATAAAAGACAGTCAAGCCACGGGTTTTTGGAACACGCAGCTTCCATAGTTTCTTGTGGGAAAATGACAGAAGCCGAAATGTGTTTCCCATTAGAGCCTGCAGCGGCAAGGACCCCGCTCTTCCCTCCCTGGTCCTGTCACTGGGTGACCTCCCCAGGAGCAGCACATGCTGGAGCGGCCCCTTCCCTCCCGCAGGAGCAGGGGGCTCCAACGCACCCTCTCCTGGGCTCCCGGTTCCTGTTCGAGGCACCGCGGAGCCCCGAGCCCGGCAGCTCGTGCCCTGCTCGGAAGCAGAGCAGCACCCGCGCTTTGCTTCCCGTGGGGATGGCCGGGTCCCCCCGCTGCTCTTTGCAAGGTCCCGGCCCACGCGGCGGGGCCGGGGTGCGGAGCAGCCCAGGCGGCCGCCTTCCTTGGGCTTCTTTTTTGATGACTTGCAATTAGATCATAGCTGGAATTAGAAAAGGAAAAACTATCAGATTTTACTGATGGCAGCAAACAGGCGGTTTCCTAACCCGTTCTTCCTAGTCCCTGCCAGTGTTTCAGGAGCAGAGCACAGTGGTTATTTATTCTTTAATCTTATTTGCAATGAAAACTACTGATTCACAGAGCAGTTATTTTCATCGTCGTTTTTCAGCATGACCTCATTAATCATTTCGTCTGGCAGGAGCCTCGTGGTGGAGAGACACCAATTACACCCGCCTGCTTTCTGCAGAGCAGCTCGTACCATCCTGCAGGCGCTTCGGAGCCGAGGGGCAAGGCCGGAGCAGGGCCAACTGCGGCCTGAGGGAGACTGGGGAAGCGCTTGAGGGGTGCCCAGCAAGGCCTCTAGGCGCTAATATGGAGCAAACGCCTCACTTTGTGTTGGTTGCCATTAGAAACAGTTGTCCAGGCTGTTTGTGGCTATCAAAAACCGCTCAACACTTTCCACCAGAATCTCTGCTGAGATTTGGCTTCCAAACGTGGAAGGGACATTTCGTTTTCCTGAACTGATCCCGGCGGATTCTCCTGTGCATGGGGCCCGTGTCCCTGCCGTGCCCAAGCCTCTGCTGCTGCTGGCTTGGACCCCAGGGTCCCTGCATTGGGTGGTGGCCGAGGAAGGCGCGTTCCCCTCCTCGGAGATCTGCTGGTTGGGACGGGAGCTCCCGCGGCTGATGCGCTCCCAGACGGGTCCCTGCCCACGCGCTAGTGGCGCTTGAATGGGGCAGGTGACTAGCGGCAGATTTCCAGGTGTGCAGAGGTGACGCAGGAGTTTTGCACAGGACACAGCCCTTTCAGATGTCCTGTGCGACTGGGCTGAGCCGTACGTGTGAGTCCTTTAAGCTCCGGTGCCATCAGGCCGCTTCAGCCCCCAGCTCTCCTAGGTGGGTTCCAGGACAACCTGCTGTCCCTTCACTTGCAGGTGATGCCGTTTCCCTCTGTTACCTGAGTTAATGCCTTGCTCCAGAGCCTTTAACTGGCTTCACCTGTTGTCTGGGTGAGCCCTCAGTTTTGGGAACAGGGTGATTCGTGTTGCAGGCAGCAGTTGCTCAGAGTCCAAATGAGCTGCGTGCAGCAACCCTGTGGGTTTTTTCTCTCTGCCAGCTGTCCCCATGGTGTGTCAGGGGACAGGGCCCTTCTGTAACCCTTACGGTAGTGGTTTTAAAGGCTGCTAGGCAGCAGCATGGTGCTAGCAAGGGGACTGTTATTGAAGAGTCAGGTCCCGGTGGCAGAATGAATGTTGAAATCCCGTAGTAATTAAGAAGTTAAATGTAGCTAGTGGCAACAGATGAAGCTGTTGTTGTTGAGGATATTATTTTCATTGAGAACTATAGATGGCATCTGTCCCAAGCCTTTCTAAAACTCATGATTTCCTGACGTACTCTTCCTCCCCCGTTTTTCTTGAAGGAGCCTAGATGTCTGGATCGGATTCAATGATTTTGCAAGCACTGGAGCACAACAGAGTGGTGAAGGATTTAATCTGGAGAGCTGTCAGAATTGGCTGCCAGGAGAGCCCCATCCATCAAATGCTGACCACTGTGTCCGGATGGGCCCGACAGGCCAGTGTAACACGGACCTGTGCATGGCCAAGCACAGCTACGTGTGTGAGTACAAGCCTCAAGGTGGGTCCTTCTGCTCTCCTGCTGTCAGCTGGCACGGGTCGGTGGGTGTTTAGTGATGTGTAGCAAGAGCAATCAGGCTGCATGGAGAATGTCTCCAGCCCCGCTCGGCCTGGGGACACCCATGATAGCACCAACAGATGCTTGACTGACCTGTTGTCAGAAACCTTCTCTGTTGGCAAATCTACCTTCCCAGGCAGCCTCAGGGAGCCCTCAAGAAGGTCCCCAGTTCTCCCTTTCTGCAATCTAAACTCTTGTCTGTCCCTTTTCCTTTGGCCTCAGCCTAAAGGAAGAACTCGGCCCTCTCCAGTCTTTGCCATCACTAAAAGTAGAGAGATGAGGGAAACTCTAGGAGAGCTTGGAAAACAGGAGAAGAGCCAGTGCCTGCATCCTGAGTAGCCCTTTCCCCCCAGACCAAAGTGCTGGGAGGGGGGATTGGCCGTGAAAATCCATTCCCATCTAATACCCAGGCCTGGAAAGCAGCAGTGGGGGGTGAGGAGTAAGAAAGAGAAGGGAGAAGGGCAGCAAATATTGGAATTGATTCAGATAAGATGGAAAGGATGGAGCTGAGCCAAGGGCCCACTGGCTCTGGAAGGAGGGACAGCAGCGACTGGTTGTGTTCAGTCCCCAGAACCTGATCTGGATGTGAAAAGGCCAGAACTATCCAGTACTGATGAAGATCGGGTGGCCCTGGCCACGCTTCCTGTGGAGCCCAGGGGAGCGGGGAAGATGGGAGTGCTTCTCCTGCTCAGAAGTTCAAAGCAAATCTTGGGGTGCCGGAAGGAAGAAGTATTTGCAGAGTTCACAGAAGTCTCAATTGAGGGGAATTGCACTGTTTACTGCACTGAGAATTGCACGAATTCTGCAGGCATTAATTATGCAGGATGGGAAAGAAATCAAAACATGTGGGAGAAGAAGAAAGTGGCTAGAGCATTAGAGCAGGTGCTGCTGCGCCGGCGAAGCTGTAGTTACAGATCGGTGATTCAGCCGCCGCTCTGCGGCGGGAGCAGCTGCAGGCCCTGCCGCCGCTCATGGGCTCTGTCCAAATGTCCCCTGTAAACAGGAATTCTCTTAAATGCCGAAAACTTCTATGTGGGAGACCCCGTGTTTGCCACTCACGAGGCCGTGAAAGATGTGGCGGAAGATGTGGTGTCAGCCCCATCGCAGGCTGCGGAGGTAAGAGAGGCTGGCGCGTCCCGCCGTGCCGAGGAGGCCGCGGGACCGGCTGCGTGAGCGAGCGCCTCGCGTTGCCCCTCGCAGGTGATGGTGTTCCCGGAGCTGCCGTTCGAGCACGACGGCGTGTTGGCCGCCCTGGAGTTCGTGACGCGGGAGCTGCGCCAGCCCGTGGCGGTGACGTTGCGAGTGCACCGGCCGACGCGCGGACACGGTGAGACATCTCCCCCAGCGCTTGCCGTGCCGCTGGGGACACCGGGGCTGTGCCAAAATGAGCGTGTGTGACCTCTCTAAAGCAGAAGTTCCAAACTGACCTTAAAAGTGCAGAGATTTGGCTCTATTTTTGAAGAGTCTCAAATACGAAGTCTGTGGGTGTATAGTGGAATAGCCTGGGGTTGCCTTGGAGAAATGGGTGTCCTGGAGAAGTTTGTAGAGCAAAAATCTCAGTGGATGAACTTTCCATCAACCAGTGCTTAGAAAAGATCAGAACACAACTGTGTTGATCAAAGCCAGAGTGAAAATGGTCCCGTTGGAGCCAACCAGAACAACTGTGAAACTGGAAAGTGTAAGCATTTATATGAGAGAGGCGGTTGCAGAGGAGTAATGAGTAGAGGGCATCTGTGCAACTCAGTAATGGTTCTTCATCAGGTATGGGCAGGAGCACAGGGGAGCATTGGCCTGGGGGCTGCAGGTCCTGGACCTGCAGCTGCAGCAGGGATGGTCCCAGTGCTCATTGACCACCTGCCTGACCCTGAGAACAGCCCGTTTCCCACCACTTACACACAAAAGCATTTTGGTTTCGCCAGATGCCTTGAGGAATTTCCAGTTTTCCCTGTGATCATCCCTGTTGAGACAGGAGATGTTCTGGCACTTGTGAAGCTTCATTGAAGAACAGTTCCAGGCAGTTTTGTCCCTCAGCTCTGAGTTAAAGCAGAATCTGTGAACTGGGCATCACAGAGCGGCATTGAAGAGATCCAGAGGCCTCTGTTTCCATTTAGTTTGAGCTGATCAGCGACTGCAGCTTCGCAATATTTCTCCCCACAAGGATCCCCAAAGCCTTCTTACAGCTTTATGCTCTGTCCTAATGCTTGAGGTGCAACTGGAGCATAAGAAATTGTAAAAGTGAACACATCCTCGAAACTACCCGTTTCAATTTACTGGGGAAGACAGGACACATCAAAGTGGAACACGTTCTGGTCCATCTGGCCCCATGGGCTAACGGGGAAGAACATTTTCCTGAGCCCATTTTTAACTCATGGATGAGATAATCTCCAAAGCCTTTGATTCCTTGTACAATAGCTCAATAGTCACAGTTTTGGCAACAATCAATTTTGTAGCAATAACGTTTGCTGTAGCCATACAGTTGGCTGGTTACAAAAGGATATTTTTGACACTGAAAAACTGATGTTTTGACATAGAAACTTTAACTTAAGAAAAGTCACTTAATGTGTTTTTGGTGTCAAAGCCAGCTCTGCCTTTGCAAGGGCCAGCTTTCTCTTCAACATAGATCTCTCTTATTTTGCAAACTGGCTCATTCTCACTGGAAAAGTGACTAACTTGTTTTTTTAATATTCTTTGCACCTTTGTGAGTTTTCCATTAGAGGAGACATTTTGTCTTAAATAGCACCAGGATGCAGTTACCGCTTTTGCTAAGAGTGGAGCCATCTTCAGTCAAAGTGGGGAAAATAATATGAAAAAGTGTATTTGGAGTGAAGGGGAAATGCACCGGGAGTGTGTTGGAGTGGTGACATTCTTTGCTTTCTCCTTCATGTCTTCCAGACGACCAGGAGAATGCTACAAACCCAGTCTACACCTCGCAGGACGGTGGGAACTGGACTCTGCTCGAATGTCCTGCTGGTTTCCAGTGGTGTCGTTTGACTGATCTGTGCATGTCGCTGAACAACTGCTGCAACGCGACAGAGTGCACCAACAGTTCTCTTGCCAGCAGTCCCATCCCTGCTCCCCTCCAGCGCAACGCAAGCCAACTTAGTTATGAACTCGTCAAGGAATTTCTCTTTACAATACCAGCTGGCCCTTCCTCCCCATATCTGGTCAGTGTTTATTAGCTGCAGGAACCAGTGAATAGGTGGAGCAGTTTTCTCTGGGTGCTTTGGGTACAATAAGAATTGTTCCCAATTTGCACATGGAGAAACTGCAGTCCATTCAAATGAAGTGATATGCCCAGGGTCACGCAGAGGATACTTGGCAGGCCTGGCGCAGAGCTCGGGCAGCCGCCTCCTCTCTCCCGCTCTGTGAGCCCGGGACTGGCCTGGTTAAGCTGCTGCAATAGTGCGGTTGGCCAAGGGCTCTGTTTCCAGCTTTGTGCCACTTCCCTGGGCTCTTCCATTGCATGTGAGGAGGGGAGAGGCAACCTGAAGCCGGCTTGGCTGTTAGCACACCGGGTGCCGAATGGCTAAGGTGAATCCAGCGGTGTGGCCCAGGTGGCATTTGGGTGCTGAGAGCCCGGAGCTTCATGTGTCCATGCCCAATGTCTCCTCTCTTTGCAGGTCACGTTCAAAGAAGAAATCATCTCTGTCAGGGCCAAGGATATCTTCAGTATTCAGCACAGCGCAGGCTTGGGCTTCCTCCTCCCCTGCCAGCCAAATACCAGCGCCCCTTCCAGACTGAACTTCCTAAGCACAAACTCTTCCGAGTGGGCGCGTGGGCTGTCTGCCAGCTTCAGCGGTGCCACCTGGGCACACGGCACTGCTTGCTCTCTCAGGGTCCGCTATGCCGAGGAACAGCTCGTCCCGATGATCCGCCCCCACAACGCGGGACTGGAGCATCCAGGACGCTACACGGTCAGAGCCAACGTGGACAACGGGGTCTTCCGTGCCAACCTGTCCTGCAGTTTCTGGGTCACCTCCCGGGTGTCAGGCCTGCGTGTCATCCACCCCGCTCCTCAAGGCGGCAAGGTCTACGTGCCGTCCAACCACACCACCCTGGTAGTCAAACTGTCCTCGGGGGTGAACGCGACGGCCAGCTGGCTGGGAGACAGCCGCCCCTTCCCCTTCGAAGGGGCCTGCCCGGCAGCGCTGGCACCGCAGGTGGCAGACTGTGCTAGAGAGACCAACGACACCTGGTTCGCGGTGGTCAGCCTGAGCAGCCTCCCCGAGGGACTCAGCACCCACGTGCTTGTCGCGGAGAACACCGTGAGTTCCCAGAACATCACCATCACGGTGAAGGTGGAGGAGCCCATCCGGGGGCTAAGAGCCACCCCCGACCCCGAGAGCAGGGTCCTGCTGAACACACGAGTGGTGAGTCATCCCTGTGGCTTTTAATTCACCGGTTTGCTGGGTTTGACTGGTAGGGAGGATCAGGGCTCTGTCCACGCTGGTCAAGATAGAGCACTGCTTGCTGCCGAGTGCTGCTCCCCTGCCCATGCAGCCCGCACTGCTGCAGGGACCTGCATGTGCCAGAAAACACTGATGCTTTCAAGAAGGAAGGCAGCTCAGCTGCTCATTTTAATCCCTTTGGCAGGGAGGCAATGCCTTCTGCTAGGGGAATACTGCCTCCCATTTGCCTAGGGAGTTGTTGAGAAAAACAGATGCCTTATCAAAGGCCAGCATTCAGCTACCTTGGGCTTGTCGAGGTAGTTACTCCCTTGGCATTTTGATGTGCTCGACTGAAGCCTTCTGCCAGCTGGCTGAAGCTGTAAACGTGTTTCATCCATTCATCAAAGACTTGGGCTTGTTCTGGTGTCTGTGTTGGTTTTTTTTTTTTTTTCTCAAACCCCATCCCCAGAGCTACAGTCAAGCCTAGGACCCCTTTTGATACCCGTTGTGCCGGTCCAATGCTGTTTAATCCTTCGCTGCTTATGGCAGAACCCTGTTCCTGCAGTGCCTGTCAGCGCCAGGCTCCCTCGCTGCCACCGTCTGTGCAGGGGACACTGTGGGAGTGAGGAGGGGTCTGCCCCGTTCACGGCAGATGAACCGTTTTAGCCTTTGGGTCCAGCATCATCCAGGTCGGAGAAGCTGAAGCTGACCTGTTCCTTCAAGAATATCAGGAGCTTTTCAGCCTGTGAGGAGAAGACTCGATGAGGAGAGCAGAGCAGCGGGTGGGAGGCAGGTGGGGTGGGTCCTGCTCCCAGCTCCTCTATAGACTGTGGGCTCTGGGACTGCGATTCTCTCGCAGAAAACAGAGAGGATCGTGCACCTCGGAGCCGTGCCCGGGAGCTGCCTCCCAGCTGCAAAAGTGGCCTGGAAATACAGAAGCGATAGACTTTGTGGAGCAGCCTGCAGTCTAGGACTGTCACATTTGTGAGCAGAATAGTGATGTGGAGAGAATGAACAGCAAAATGCAGCAGGATCAGGATCAGAACAGGAAGTTTTATATACATATGCTTTCGTAAAACCTCACACTGCAGCATAGTGAGGAATTACAGGAAGCTTTTCCCTGTGTGGTGAAGGAGGTGGGAGGCTTTTTCCCTGCGTAGGCTCTGCCACGGGATGCTCCTCAGTCTGGCTTTGTCCGCACTCTGGCTGGGCTGCAGGTCTGGGACGTGCTGTGCATGCTTTTCTCCCGCACTCGTGTGAAGTGTCCTCCTGCCTTTCAGAGCTACGTGCCCATGATGGAAGCTGGGTCAGATGTGACTTTCCGGTGGACAGTAGATGATAAGCCATCTTTCACTTTTTACAACGTTGTCTTCAACGTTATCTACCAAAGCCCAGCTGTGTACAAGCTTTCGGTAAGCCAAGGCCTTTCCCATAACACCATTTCACTTCTGGTTTCCGTTTCATCCCACAATCTGAGCAGGAAGAGCAGAAGGTAGAGGAGAAGGCAGAGGCTTCTGCAGCTCTCCTGCCCTACTCAGGAGCCGTCAGCAGTGCAGGTTTATGCTGGGTTGGCTTGAGGAGGTTTTCAGGATGTTACTGAGGAGCTTGTCTGCTATTTCTCACTGAGCTATCCTTGCAAACACAAATAGCAAGAGCTTCTTCTTGCGGCCTCCTCTACTGCTGGCTTGACTCTCTCCTTGACTTCTGTGTTTGCTTTCTGCTCTTTTCTCCATACTCTCCGTTCTGTTCCCGGAGCCTCTCCCCACGTTGCTCCCCAGCACTGAAGCCCACTGCAGGGTGCCCAGGTGCCACTTGGCTCCGTGGGAGACGCGGGTTCAGCACCAGGCAGAGGCAGCATCGAAGCAGGAGCCTCTCGCAGGCAGGCCAGGCTTATGCTACAGGCTGCTCTGGTCTCTGCCTGGTTCTCTGCTGGTGCAGAGAGGACTTTGTCTTCTATCTCCTGGGGTGGGAGGACTCCACTCAGTGCGGAGAATCCCTTGTGCTAGCGGCCAAGCTTTCCTGCACAGAGGAGATGGTAGGGTGCTCTGTTTGAGGTGCTGCATCAGTGCCACTTGCCTAGGTAACGTTGGGTACCCTGCTCCTGTTGGCTCCCGTTGGTCTCTTGCCTGTCCACACTCGCTTTCCCTCCTCATCCCAACTTTGCTGTCCCTCTCTGCCTGCTGCACCTGCCTGCTGCCCTGGGCACGCTTGGTTTGCGGAGTCCCCTGGCCTGGAGCCTGGCAGCTGCCACGGAAGCCCTCAGTGTCGGCGAGTGCCTGTGCACAGCAGGCTGTGCAGGGCACACCCGGAGCAGGCAAAAGGACCACTGGCAAGTTCAGGGCCAGGGGAGCGTCAGGACAAGGAGTCCTCCTTGTCCTCGTGCTGGGTGGAACCAGTCAAGCCGTGGCCTGACCTAGCAGTGCAGCTGTGCTGCCTCCCTCAGGAGGTGGCTCCTGCAGGCGGGTGAGCTCCCAGTGCCGCTTCCAGCGCCATTCGGGCCGTGGCTTCTGCCTCCTGTCCCACAGGCTGCTCTCACCTAACCCGCTCACCCGCTCAGGGTGCTGAAGCCCCGCTTGGGAGAGGGCAGCACGCCGAGGTGATCCCCAATGCCTTCCTTGTCCCATTGTCCTTCCCAGCTCACCGCCTCCAACCACGTCAGTAACTTCACGGTCAATTACAACGTCACGGTGGAGCTGATGAACAAGATGAAGAACCTGACTGTGCTGGGCATCCTGCCGGTGCTCCCGCAGAACAGCACTGTGGAGCTGACGGCACGAGTTCACGTCGATTCTGCTGTGGATGCGCAGTTCCTGTGAGTCCTTTGCAAGCTGCCCAAATTTAGGCTCTTGCTATGCATGGCTTACCAGTCTTGCCTCAGTTATTTCTTTCCTGGGGCCCAGCTGATTTCAAGTGGCCAATTCTTTGGGTACTGTCTTGTTCAGTTGACATTTGGGAAGTGTGATTTAGCCACAATGACTGGGACATATTCTTCAGGCTTGAAATAATTGTCTTTTTATAGGACTGCAACACTGGCTTAATATTGAGTACCTCTGTTTCTTAGCAGTGATGTGCTCCTCTCCATCACTCTTCTGCGGTTAGCCCAGCTATTGCTTTGGTCCTTGGCATTATGATTCCCAGCGGTGCTACTGATACCCAAGGCCTGAACCTGAAGGGCAGCCCTGAAACCAGGAAAGGATTCCCCCAGGATTTCCTTTGCTGCCCCTTGTACAGCATGACATGGTTTGTGTGTTTCTGCAGGTGGGATTTTGGAGATGGTTTCCAGGAGACCCACCAGTTCAAACCTCCTTACAACAAGTCCTTCCGTGTTCCTGATCCCAGTGTCCACGAGGTTGTAATAGAGCACAACGTATCACACACCTATCAAGAGCCAGGTATGCTCAGACCAGCTCTCTGGAGAAAGGTCTCAGATGCTTTTGTTGCTTGGGGTAACATGGCCAAGGACTTCAGAAGTGTCTGGGCCCCCTTAACTGAGAGAACAACTTGAAAGTTGTCTTGTTCCTGAGCAAATTGCCAGTGGGGTGACTGGAAGTCGCCACCAGCTGCCATTGTCTGCAGCTCTCTTTCCAGAAGGAGTTTGCCCATCCTGTAAGGAAAAGGTCCACCACACACAGTCCCCTTTCTGGCCAGTCTGAGCAGATAGGCCAGTGGTTGGTGAGCTCTTAGCTTCTGTGCTGATGGGAGATGGGCCAGGGGGAGCAAGAGCAGGTCTTGCCATGTGAGTGAACAGAAAGCAAATCAGTTTTCTGCAACTTCTCAAGTGTCTTGTTACTGGGTATTTGATCCTCACATGCACAGCCTGGCCGCAATTCCTGCTCTTCCCAGAATGGAAGAGAGAAACCCAATGCACAGAGTATCTTACCTGAATCTCCTGTCATGCTCCCAAAAACTACTGCACTAGGAGAAAGCGCCAACACTTCCCAGCTGACTCTTCCTTTTCTCCTCTCTTCCTGTGCAGGTGAATATGCGCTGATGGTTCTAGTTTCAAACCAGTTTGAGAACCTCACCCATGTGGCCCCAGTTTACGTCCACAGTTATTTGATTGAAGTGAAGATGGAGACAGATGAGGATGTCCTAGTTGTGAACCGTCCCGTCACCTTCAGAGCCAGTCCCCTGCCGTCTCCCTATGGCGTGGTCTACGCTTGGGACTTTGGGGATGGGTCCTCAGTGTTCACGGAGGACCAGCCTACTGCGACATACAGCTACCCCCAAAGAGGGGTGTACAACGTCACCGTGACAGTGAACAACACCATCAGCAGCGTGGAGACAGTTGAGTGCTACCAAGTGTTTGAGGAGATAACTGGGCTCCGGGTTTCGGCAGACGAGGCAGCAGAGCTGGGTGCAGCTGTAACCGTTAATGCTTCCGTGCAGACCGGGGACGGCATCACCTGGATATTTGATATGGGAGATGGGACCGTGCTGAGGAGCTACGTGCCCGTGGTGGAGCACATGTACGTAAAGGACATCAACTGCACTGTGAACGTGACAGCTGTGAATCCTGTGAACTCTGTCTCCCAAGCTGTGCCTATTCGGATATTTGTCCTGGAAGTACTCAAAATAGAGCCTACCTCTTGCATCCTCGAGCATCCGGATGTACAGCTCACAGCGTATGTGACAGGGAATCCTGAGGAATATATCTTTGATTGGACCTTTGGGGATGGTTCGTCCAACGTCACCGTCAGTGGGGACCCTGTTGTGATGCACAACTTCACCCGCAGCGGGACGTTCCCGCTCTCGCTGACGCTCTCGAGCAGGTTTAACAAGGCTCACTACTTCACCAGTGTGTGTGTGGAGCCAGAGATAGTCAACGTCACGCTCCTTCCTTCCAAGCACTTTGTGAGGCTTGGTGAGGAGATCGCTTTCCAGGTCAGTGCCGTGCCGCTCTATCAGTACCGCTACCGTTGGGATTTTGGGAACAACGAGTCCACTAGATCAAGTGGTACTGAGGTCAGCTACACCTACAAGAACACGGGGGTCTTCCTGGTCACAGTGACTGTCTCCAACAATGTCTCATTCAACAATGACACAGCATTCGTGGAGGTCCAGGAGCCTGTTGGGGTAGCAAAGATTGAACATAACGGAACCAGGGTTTTGGAGCTGAACCAGATCTACCTGTTCTCTGCCAGCATGAATGGAACCAAAGTAAGTTATCACTGGGACTTTGGAGATGGCACTACCCAGCCTGGCCAAATCACTACCCACTCCTACAACACCACGGGCTGCTACACTATTAGTGTGACAGGCGAGAATGACGTGAGCCTCAACGAGACCCGGCTCGATGTCACAGTGAAACCTCGGCTCCAGGGGCTCACCGTCAATGCCAGCAGGACCGTGGTGCCACTGAACGGTTCAGTGAGTTTCGTGGCCACTCTTGTGGCTGGCAGCGCCATCCGCTACTCTTGGATCCTGTGTGACCGGTGCACTCCCATCCAAGGCTCCTCCACCATTTCCTACACTTTCCGGTCCGTGGGCACGTTCAATGTCATCGTGACCGCGGAGAACGAGATCAGCTCTTTGCAGGACAGCATCTACGTCTATGTCCTGGAGCAGATCGAAGGCCTGCAGGTGGCCAGCAGTGACCTACTGGAGGATGTTTATTTCCCCACTAACAAAACGCTCCATTTGCAGGCAGTGGTGAGGGAGGGGACGAACATCTCCTACAGCTGGGTAGCCCAAAAGGATGGCAACGCTGTGCAGACCTTCACCGGGAAAACCTTCTCCTTGAACGTCGCAGAAGCTGGGAATTACACCGTGTATCTGAAAGCCACTAACATGCTGGGGTGCGCAACCACTAACAGGACACTGGAGTTCATTGAAAGCATTGGCCTTCTGAAACCTGCTGCCTTCCCCAACCCGGCTGCTGTTAATGCCTCTGTCAACATAAGTGCCACCATAAGCAGTGGCACTGGCGTCGTATATTCTTGGTTCCTGGAGGATGGCTTCTCTCTTGTTACCTCTGAACCCTTTATCATACACTCCTTCCAAAGCCCTGGAGATAAAGAGGTCATCGTTGGAGCAGAAAACAAGCTGGATTCCACCAATGCAACAATTTATGTCCATGTAGAGGAGCCCATAGAGGGCCTGAGTATAGGGACTGCAGAACCGGACTGCAGGTACGTGTCATCAGGCTCCACAGTGGTATTTGAGGGAGAGCTGCAGAAGGGGACTGACGTGACCTGGCTTTGGGACATGCCAAATGGCACACTGACCGGCCAGTCTGTGGCAGTCATGTTTCCTACAGCTGGATTTTACACCGTTTATCTAAATGCATCCAATGATATCAGCTGGGCTCTGGCCAGCAGGAATATCTCTGTGCTGGACAGAATTCAAGGGCTGGAGGTTTTTGCCAGCAAGAAGGTGGTAGAGCCAGGGGAGCAGGTTACCTTTGTGATCAAGATGTTGTCGGGTACCTCTGTGAGTTACTTGGTGAGCATAAGTGGGGACTACTCCGTGGTGCTCAACGGGTCCAGGTACACACACGAGTTCACCAAGAGCGGCGATTACTTGGTGACTGTGACAGTGCAGAACCAGATCAGCATCGCCCATGCCCAGGTGCTCATCGCGGTCTTGGAGGCCATCCGGGACGTGCGGCTCCTGAACTGCTGCGAGCAGGGCATAGCCACGGGCACGGAGAAGGTGTTCGGCGCCCAGGTGGGCAGCGGCTCTCGTGTGTCCTTCTCTTGGCAGTTCTCCCTGTGCAAAGAGCAGGGCTGCTCTGTGGTCACCATGGCAGGAGAGAGTGTTTCCTACACTCCAGAAGCTGCAGGGCTGCTTGAGATTCGCCTCTACGCCTTTAACGATTTGGGAGGCATCAATGTCACGAGAACCATCCAGGTCCAGGACCCCATAGTCCAAGTCTCCCTCGCTGCCTCCAACGCTTTTGTCAACAGGACAGCGCTGTTTGAAGCAACAGTGGTGCCAAGTGGCAGGGGCGTTGAGTTCCTCTGGACCTTTGGGGATGGCTCTTCCACTCAAATGACTACAGTGGCAGTGGCCAACTATTCTTACCTGAGCCCCGGGGACTACCTGGTGGAGGTGAACGCCACCAATCTCATCAGCTTCTTCATAGCCCATCTCACCATCACGGTGAAAGTGCTGGAGTGTGAAGAGCCAGAGGTGGAGTTAGCCTTGCCCCCTCAGGTAGTCATGAAACGGTCCCAGAGGAACTACCTGGAGGCACAGATCGATCTGCGAGGCTGCATCAAATACCAGACAGAGCACCTGTGGGAGATCTACCGCGCACCCAGCTGCCTGCGCTTGGACGACTCCAGCAGGATCCGTCTGCCCAGCGTCGACGTGAACAGGCCCCAGCTTGTTATACCCAGGCTCGCCCTGCAAGTCGGGAGCTACTGTTTCGTCTTCATCGTGTCCTTTGGAGATACCCCGCTGTCCAAAAGCATCTTTGCCAATGTGACCGTGATACCGAGTAAACTGGTCCCTATCATTGACGGGGGTTCATACCGTGTGTGGTCCAAAACTCAGGACTTGGTCTTGGATGGGAAGAAATCTTACGATCCCAACTTGGATGATGGTGAACAGACTCCCTTGTTTTACCAGTGGTCTTGTACATCCTCCTCCAAGGTAAGAGCGTTTGTGCACAGCCACCGAGCACGCTCATTCGGGAGTGCAAACTGCATGTCAGCTTTGACATACGTGTTTGGGTTGAAATGGTGTTGAGGGCATCTTGTGTGAGCACCTCTAACAAAGCAGTTTGGAAGGAGGGTTGCAGAGGTTGCCCAATGCCCAGCTGGGGGGGGATGGCACGAAAATCGCTGGGTTTGGGGTTTGGGGGTGCAGTCTCTTGCAGCGCAGCGCTGCGGTCTGTCCCTGTGCATGTTGCAAGTGCTTGTACTGGGTGCTGTGGCGTTCACATTGCTGCTTCCATGGACCTGGCTCTCGGTGCACAGTTTTGGTGCAATTGCCTCCATAACGTGAAGGAGTCAGAGGTGCCAGCCGGGGTCCAGGAGGCTGTCGGTCCAGTCCCTCCCCTTCAGTAGTTACAGATGCCCCTGGTCCCAGCAGAGCCCGAAGCTGGGCTGTGGCGGAGCAGTCACAGACAGTGGTGGCTGTGGTCACAAGCAGGTCGCTGTTCCTCTCCTCTGCACACGCAGAGGTGGCCTTGCCTTGCAGTGATAACAGGGCAAGGGCCCTGCCTGCACTTCTCTATGGGAGATGCTCCTCAGGAACATTAAGAATTGAACACTGTTATTTTGCTTATAAAAGGCCCCTGCTTTTCATCTTAAACCTATAAAGCAGAATGAGGTGGAGTGTGTGGATTAGACTTTTAGTTTCATATCATCTTTTTGTGTTGTTCAAATTATTTTTTATAATATTTATAAACTATTGGGTAAAGCATTATTTGGTGTAAAGAAAGAACTTGAAACTCAGCTGAAACCCAGGCGTGTCGCCCGTGCTATTTACTAACCCAACAGCTGGGACAATGTGCTTTGCTGCCCAGAAAGCTCCCCGTTCCTCCCACCGCTGGCAGTGGCTTTGCAGAGCTAAGATCTGTAACCGTAACTTGGCTTGGGGTGGACCTGAGTGGTGGGGCTGTGGACTAATCCCATGTGCACCCCTACCAAGGAGAGTTTGAAAGTTCTTTTCTCCTTGCAAGCAGAGCTCGGCTGCAGGGTGCTCTCTGAATTTCAGTGCCATGGGAGGAATTGTCACCATTCCCAAAGCTGTATTAGAAGCTGATGTGGAGTATACATTCGACCTCACTGTCTGGAAGGCCGGTATGAGTCGCGAGGCAACAAACCAAACCGTACGTACCCCAGAACACTGTCGTGTCCGTCCGTGCGCGCCCGCCGCTGGGCACAGCCAGCGGGGAAGCCCAGGGCCCCTTTCCTAAGGAAGGCTCTAGAGCAGAGGGCTGCTGTTTTAGGGTGTCCCCACCAAAGGTGACTCCCACCAGCTTCTTCCCCCGGCCTGATCCCAGAGCCACTGCTCATTTCTCCTGGGGAGAGCAACCCCAAGAGAAAGAAGGGGAACAGAGAGACGTAGGGGCATCTTTGGGCTCCATAGCTGATTCGGTCCAGCTCCTTCGCAGGAGTAGACACGGGTGTTGCAGTGGTCTGTTCATCTCAGGTTGTCTTGGGCAGCATTTCTTCCTTGTCTTGTCAAGTCCTTTTAGGTTCTTCCTTCCTTTAGATCTGCCTTAATCTCACTCTGGATGCCCCAGCCCTGAACTGTGCTGGCCACAGATGCTGGGTGTGCTGGTGTGAAGGCAGAGACCTGCTGTAGCCGTCCACAGAGCCCGTGGAGCAGAGCAGTCCATGGGCAGTGCTCAGCCCCGCTCGGTGCAGTCCCAGCCTCTCCACGCTTCACAGCAGCAGGATCTTTCCTGCTTTTTGCCCAGAGAGAGCTTTCCGTGCCTTTATACTAGATTTCACTGTCAACATTTTTTTTTTAGGAGAAGATCTTTTTAAGTGCATGTTGTTTATGTCAAACCTAATGCTAGATGCATCTGCAGCCCGACAGCACTTATGGTTTATGTCAGAAACATTCATCGCGGTGCATTTGGCAATTAGAGATATAGTTAGTCTGAAAGTGGAAACTCTTACAGCCTGGGTTTTATACCAAAGCTGGAGGATAAAAAGAGGAAAAAAAAAATTAAATTGATAGTCTTTCAAGGACATTCCGTACTATCTGGTTTCCATGCATGAGCGCAAAACAATGATTCCAGTGTCATAGGAAATTTGCAAATACTGTAGGAATGAATGAAGCTTCACTGCTCTCCGGCTTAGTGCTGTGGAATATTTCACCCCTTTTAAAAGGCTGCCATATTAAACAGTCTCTTCAGTCCTGCCTTTCTCTGAATTGAGAATGTTCATTGTGCCAGGGCAGAGGGCTCTGTCAAGTGCTAGACAGCCTCATTTCCCGGGGGATTCAAGGAATTTAAACCAAACACAGGAGTCCCAGTGCAAGAGTCGTCGTGTCTGTCAGACCAGCACCCACAGGGTGCTCTGTGGGGAGCTGGGAGGGACGTCTTGAGATGCGCGGGTTCCATCAGGGCACCAGAGGGGCATTGTCAAAGTGATTTAAGTCGTTAAATGTAAACGGATTACCTAGATTGGCCCCTCTCGGCATTGGGTCGATGTCCAAAGTGAGGAGGCAGAAGGTGTAGCCTGTCGGTGGAGGACGCTTTGCCGTGGCCGGTGTAAGCAGCCTAACGTGGCTCAGGGGTACGCTGAAACCCTTCAGAAAGTCCTTTCCGCCGTGTCCTTAGCGCGGCCGGGCCGGGACAGGGTGGGTTTGAGGAAGCAGGCGCGGGGCTGCCTGCTGGCTTTGCTGCACGTCTGCTGCTCTGCGCCAGCCTCTCTGACCTCCGGCTCCCTTTCCTTCGCAGGTGTTCATCAAGAGAGGAGGGGTCCCTATCGTGTCCCTGGAGTGCGTGTCCTGCAAGGCTCAGTCCGTCTACGAGGTCAGCAAGAGCTCCTATGTCTACCTGGAGGGGACCTGCCAGAACTGCCACAACGACTCCAAACTCGGGGTAACGTCATCAACATAAATCTGACCATCTTTCCTTCACCTTTGCCGGACTCGAGGGAGAAGGGGGAGTTCAAGAGGACAGGGTGGAAAGAGCTATGTGGGAAGTAGAGTCCTGGACCTGAATTCCCTTAGAGAGAGTGGCCAGCTGGGTCTGCCTGAGTGGGGAGGAAGGCCGGCCTGTGCCCATCTCTTCATCGCAGCCTTATGGAATTGAAGACAGGCCTGGCCTGGCCTGCCCAGCTGGGGTTTGGGGCTCCCTTGTGCTGTCATGTCACGTCGTGACAGCGCACAGGATGCCGTGGGTGCCTATGAATCAGGTCCCGTGTTCTGCACGAGCTGAGCAGGGCCCTCCCTGCCCTGCGTGTTTGGGTTGAGGGAGAGACCTGTGCCCGTGTGGGCCTGCAGGTTGGGGGACACGCGGCATATTGCTCCTCTGTCCATGTCTTGACGTGCCAGGTCTTTCCTGGGTCATGTTCAGAGCAAGCCTGCGTGAGGCTAGCGATTCTCACACAGTGGCCACTCCTTCCTCTGACACCTATTAAGGGTCTTCTCCATGCGGGATGGCATTTTACACAGTATTCCAGTGGGTCAAGCAGGGACTGTTTGCTCTGTTCTCATCCCTGCTGTCCTGCACTGCACGGTGTCCTCCGCTCCCCAGAATGAGACCAGTTTTCTAAGGGAAGTCTCCTTGTGAGAGCTCAGCTGGGTGGCCCCCGGGGACTTGCATGGCATTTGGTGGCCGGCTCTCGAGCCGTTCCTCTGTTATCGCGGTTGTTCGTTCATGCTATTAACAGTAACCATCCAGGACACGTTCAACTTGCAGCGTATAAAACACGGTATCCCGTGGAGACTCCGCCACTACTTAATTTATTTCCTGTATTTTGTGTTCTGTATTAAGAAATATTCTGTCAGGCGGTGATGTAATCTCAAAGACTAAACTAGATCTCACGGTGGAAATATTCCCACCAGACATTTTGGAAACTTTCCAGTTCTTGTTGCCGTAGCACACGAGACTAAAGCAGAATTATCAACTGCAAATTTGGCAGACACTCCCACCAGAAATCTGTTATTTTTCATAAGAGACTCAATCTGAAAACATTTCAGGGACGTAACTTCAGATTAAAAGAAAACCTTTCCTGTCTTTCCCCTCTTCATGTCTGTAGAGATGGGCAGCACACAGCTTTAAGAACAAGTCACTCATCCTGGACAAAAAAACTACCTCCACTGGCGACACAGGAATGAACCTGGTCTTGAGGCAAGGGGCCCTCAAGGATGGGGAGGGATATACTTTTACCCTTCACATCACAGACCTCACAACCGGCGAGGAAGGGTTTGCCTCCATCGACCTGCTCCCAAACCAGCCGCCCGTGGGAGGATCCTGCCGCCTGTCTCCCGAGGGACCGCTCAGGGCGCTGATGGCCAAGGTGCACTTTGAGTGCACAGGTGAGCGCGCGTGGACGGCGGCGCTGGGTGCTTCTTCACCTGCAAGTCTCTCTCTCGTGCCCGGGGAGTTGCCCCTGTCCTTGTCCCCGTACTCTTTCTTTGCTCTGAACTCCCACCCTAGCATCCCGCTGCCCAGGGCTGAGGTCAGAAATGGATCTTTCCGTTTCCAGCTCCCAAAGCTCGGCGCTCTGAGCAGCTTTGTGTGCCCGGGTTGTGCAGCCGTCTAAAACTCTAGCACTTTTTTAAAAGCCCAGTCCATGGAGGTGAATGGTCATATCCAGTCCAGGGCTGTAGATGTGGAAGGAAATGGGTGTTTGCAGGAAAAAGAAAATAGGTGCCTAAAGCTGAATTATATAGACATGAGAAGAAAAAAAAGATGAAGCACTGGGGACTTCTCTGCCTTATAGGCTGCATGTTCCCATCCATAGCTACCTTTTCACTCAGCTGCAGACAGCAGCAGCCGGTCTAGTATTTGAAAAATGGGTTGGCTGACATCCTAGAGCCCTGGGCCAAGGAGCAAGTCCCTCTGAAAACCTTATTTCTTCAAATGATTAGTGTTGCACATTAATGCTTTCTGGGGCACAAAATCCTGGCACAAGGAAACAACAAATTCCGGTGCTGGGGTGAGTGTCACCAAAGTGCAGCTTAGCCCAGGGAAAAGCAGACCTGTGTTTGGCATGACAGGTTGTAGCATGTGGGGTGTTTGGAGTACCGGGAATAATGATGAAATCTGCACGTCTCTGGAGTGATGGGAATTTTAGCGGCTAACTATTTTTAAGGGTTAAGGAATTCTCAGAACAGGCGCCCCGGGCTGGTCCCGGCGCGGGCGTCTCCCGCAGACACACAGCGGGTTCCAGCCGAGCTCCCGCCCGGCGCTGCGATCCCGGGGAGCCCCGAGGCCCCGCGCGGGGCACTGGGGCCTCGGCTCCTGCCCGCTCCCGAGCTGTTGAATTCTGCACTGCCTGACATGGGCTTGTGCAGGGTTTACAGCGGCTCTGCCCTTGGTCAGTGCTCCTTGAAGCCCAGTGAAATTATTCTGATTTTTGCTTTGGTTGTGAACTCTCCCAAATCCCCTCGAACCCTCAACGTCCGAAAAACCCAAAGCAGGGCCAGGGCGTTACCCTGTGGGTGCCGGGGGCAGCTCGGGCAGCCCCCGTGACGCTCTGTGCACGTTTGCTTTGCAGGCTGGCGGGACACGGAGGACGCGGCGGCCCCGCTCGTGTTCATCCTCGTGGCGTCGCGCCGGCGTGCCGGCCACCACGACGAGTTCTGCGTGTACAAGGGCAGCCGCGCCGAGCACAGCGCCTTCCTGCCGCCCGGCTTCCACGAGAGCGGCTTCCGGGTGGCCGTGGCCGTGCTCGTGCAGGACCAGCTGGGAGCCACCGTGGTGGCCGTTAACCGGTAAGGCTGCCGCTGACCGGTGGCTTCTCCGCGGTTATGCAGCCTGAGTCCTGGTCTTTCGGCTTAGCCGTGGGGCCCCCTTCCTGAAGGGCTCTGTGGAGGCAAGAGGGGACAGAGGCTCGGCTCAGGACATGGGCACCGCAGAGAACTCCAGCCTTGGCACGGGATCACTCAAGGGGACACTTTTTTGTCCCTAGTTATTGCTTCCCTGGCCACCCCCTTTCACAGCACAGTATCATCTTCTCGGAAGATCTCTGTGTTTTTCAGCTCACAGGTGGCAAAGGCAGAAATGTAAATGTCTGCCCTTTCTGTTGCATCCAGCCAGCTGCAAGCGGTTGTGTTTTGATCAGTGACTGAGAGCCAAACGCGTGCCAGACGGCCATGGGTCTTAGAGGACCGTGTCCCATATCATGACACGCGCTGTGCTCTGCCACCTGCTCTGGATCGAGATCGCTCCAGGGACAGTCTGTCAGCGTTGGCACTGGTGCAAGCGTGGCCGGGTGCCACTGCAGGGACTACAGCAGCTCTGTGTCACCAGAGTGCAGAGCGCCTGGGCTGGGGGCTCCGTGGGGACAGTCCCCTCCCGCAGACGCTCCTCGCTCCCCGGCGGGTCCCACGCAGGCACCAAGAGCCTCGGGCCATCGGGCAGTGCCTGGTGCCGCTCTCTGTCCTGCGGCTGCTCCCCTCGAGGCCACCTCGCGGTCCCGTCGCTGCACGCGGGTCCCGGCGGCGCTGCCGCAGCCCGCGGTGCTGCACGGGAGCATCGCGGCCCAGGGAGCATCGCGGCCCAGCTGCTCCATACGGTCCAGGGAGCGGAGCCAAGAGCGGCCCAGCTCCTCCCGGCTCCCTGACAGGCATTTTCAAATGCTCCTGCTGCCCCATCAGGCTAAACGCAGGGTTTCTCTGCGCTCAAGGCGCCCACGTGTGTCCTCCAGATCCCACTTCACCGAGCTGGACCTTCAGGGAATCAGGCCTCTTCCCGTAGGGATGCACAGCTGGTGCAAGCTGGGCAGCAGGGCGAGCATCAGTGATGTTGCCTGTATTGTTTAAGCACCCGTTTCCTCCCTCCTCCTTCCTCCGCAGCTGCAAGGCTGATTCTGCCTTTTCCCTCAGCCCCTTTTGGCAGTTTGTGTTTAAGCCAGATGCCTCTTTCCTTGGCAGCTCCATGGAGATCAGCTTACCCGAGGGCTTCCCCAGCCTCTCGCACTGGCTCTACAATCAAACTGACACCGTGCTGCAGGGCTTGGTGAAACAGGGGGACCCTCAGCAGGTCATTGAGTACTCCCTGGCTCTCATCACCATCTTAAATGAGGTAAAGCACCAGTCTCAGCCCCAGCGGGGCCTCCAGAAGCCCTTGCAATCCCCAGCACTGCTCTTTGGCTACAGTTTGTCCAGTGATGTGAGGAAGTGACTAATGCTCCAGCTTTTAGTGTATAGCGGTGTACGTGCGAGCTGGGAGTTGGGCTGCAGCTATCTTTATGTGTGAAGAAAGAGCAAACTGCAGACCCACGATGGCCAGGGGAAGCAGAAAGGCTGCAAAATGCAGCAGCAGAAGACAGTGCAGCCCTGCCATGCAGCCCCCCATGCAGCCTGTATTTCTGCCCTCACGTTCAGCCAGCTTTTCCTTGTTAGTGCCAACCACAAGCCTAAACACTACCTTTAGAAACAGAAATCGTGGCCCAAATTGTCCCACCTCCCCCAAGCAGAATTTCCCTGCTCCATCTTAGCAGGACTGGCAGCTCCTATAGCCACTCGAGTGCTGAGATCTCCTGGGAGAAAGGCAGTACCCTCTGTCCTCACTGCGCACAAGGCAGGAGCCTCATCCTCCTGGGTGATGAAAGGTCCCTCTCACCCCTCTCTGAAGCAGGGCTCTGGCCACCCTCCATGTGCTTTGCTGTAGTCAGGGCAAGAGTTTGGGTCTGTGCTCCTGTTTTCCTGCCCTGTAAGAGCCCACTGCAAGTCTGGAATGCAGGAATTGCACAGGGCTGCTCTACGGAGCTGACAACTGCCAGGCTGGTGAGATAACTGCTTGGAGCACAGGAGGGTAGTTGAGGAAGTTCTGCTGAAGACCCAGCTCGTTAGACCAGCCTCTGGGGAGAGGCAGGGCAGAGAGATGTAGTGTGCAGGAAAGAGGTGACTTCAGCACAGCACCCCTCCTTTGAAACCACCTGATCCTTTTCCTCACTGTACCTGCTTTGATCCCCTTCAGTACGAGCGGTCGATGCTTTTGGAACCTGAGACTGGGAATGAGTTTGAACTCCGGACTTGGACTCGGAACAATATCACAGAAACCTTGAACTCGCTGAATGTGAACACGGTTGATGATATCCAGCAGATCTCAGCTGCCTTGGCTCAGTGCACGGTACGTTCCCCATCACCACCTCCACCCTTCAACTCCTCCACGTGTGACTTTTATGCCAATAAGCACAGGGGAGGTCTCTCCTGTTCTTGTTCTGCTTCCCTGTCTCCCTTGCACACACTTATGGGGAGGACTCCTGTCGTTTTTGGTATTGTTAGGGTTTCTCTGTTGGTTTCCTAAGTGCCTGTGTCATCAGTTCTCAAGCTGGCAGGCTACAAGCTAAAGTGAGGAGACGCCGTGCTGCCAGCAAGACCCCGAGCACTCTGCGGTTTCTCTCGCGCCAGGTCTGGTGTGGTAGCCTGCTAGCATGCAGGTCCCTTAGCTTGCAGGTGGGCACTGTAAGAAAGACTCAGCTTTGGGAAGTTAGAGAAGCACTGGACTAAATTACGAGCAAAGTTGCAGACTATCCATGGACAGCGTGGACCCTGTCAGGAGGTAGAGCTGGGCCTGCCTTGAGCAGAGGGCAAAGCCAAGGACTGACCTTCCTTCCAGCCCTGTTTCTGCAGTACAGGATTGGAATCACTGCTCTACTGGAAACAACTGGAAGGGTCATGTTCCCTGCCAGCCGCGCTGAGAGCTCGCAGTGCTGCTGACTCCTGGATTTAGGAGCAGCTTTATGTGTTTTGTCAGATGGGCAAAGGGAAGAGAGCCCAGTTATATAACGTGCAGGGCTTTGGTGGGCAGCCAGTGTGCTCTGGCGTGCTCTGCCTTCCCCACCGCCCAAGTCTCTGCTCCGTGGGACTGGCGTCGGGTACCCTGGCCTTGGTGGATCTTGGCTCCGTAGCCAGCCCAGCAACCTTGCTCGGCGGCAAGAGGCTGCCTGTCAAGTGATGGGCAAACTACCGTGTCCCACCCACAGAGTCCCTGTTCTGCTGCTCTTTCATTTGCTTCAGTGTCTCTGAACCTCAGAAATCACTTCTTTCTGTTCCCCTGTGTTCAGGGATTTGGGGTTTTGCACCTCCCGTTCCTGCGCTAATTCAGTTTGCTTCTCTCGCTCACCCAGGCTCTTGCCCTGCAACCTGATATCGTGATGGAAGTTCAGGTCTAGAAGTGGAATTTTTGTCACGTGAGAAAAGCTGATCTTTCAGGATTAGTTTGTGCTCTGAATTGGAATGAGAAACTTATACTTGGGAAATTCTATGTCACCATTTTTATTTGAGAAGAGCAAAGAACTCAAGGATATCCTTTCCTTTAGAAGTGTCAGTCAGTGCTGATATCTTTTGATTTTACCTGTGAGGGAGAGGAAAAAATCAGAACAAACTTCTTCTGGTGAGGGGAAAAAATGAATCTCAAACCCCTGAGTAGGTTCTGCTTCCTAAGTAATAGCTGTCCTTGGGTGGTTCTTCCCCATAAGCCTTTAATCTTCCTCGTCTCCTTGTTATCTCACTGTGCCTTGCTAACTCTCATTTACGCAGTATGCCCTCACTTCTAGCTTATAGATTTAAGTAAAAAAGGAGAAATTCTAGACCTGCAGACTCTGTTTTGATTCTGCACCAAAACATATGGTGAATCACGTCTGAATCTTATGATGATTAAAAGAAAAAGATGAATAAGAGCTAGGATTGTGGTAACAGCTTCCATGTGTTGCCTTGGTCTCTCCCGTCCAGCCCTCGAGTGTGCTGGGAGCTCCAGGCCATGGCTGGAACATTCTGTTTCTTGGACACATCTGGGAGCGGAGGGAAGGATATCCATCATGCCTGAGTGGCAGGGGCCCTCCCACAGCTTTTGGGAGTATTTGGACACTAGAATGGATTCAGTTAGGGCCAAATCCTGCTTCAGTTGAAGTAAACTGTGCACATACGGAGGAACCCTGCAACCTCCTCCTGGTTGACTTCAGTAGGAGCCATATGTGGCCCCAACGGGGAACTCGTGAGATGCAAAGACTGCGGGAGATGTGCTTGGTCCCTACACGTGAACTTCAGCGAGCTTGAATGTGCTGCTCTGTATTGCCCTGCCCAACCTCCGGGCATCCTCTGTCAGACTCCTACCCTTCCTGCCTGGGTGCTGAGGAAGTGGATGGGAGAGTCCTGGAGACACCATCAAATCCTTGGCATCTCTCAATGTGAACAGAGAAGCCCTGGTCTCCTTGGTCTCCTGCTGGGGCTGGAAAGAACAGGGTTAGCTGTGAGTGTAATTAGTTTCTGATCCAGTGTGGTCAGATCTCTGCAGGAACAAGCCAGCCGACCTTGCCCACGGCTGCCCTTTTCCTGCAGAATGATCCCGCTGCATCACACTGTGATTCCCTCTGCAGGTGGTGAGCAAGGAGCTGGTTTGCAGGTCGTGCCTGACAAGGACCCTGAACAAGCTGGAGACCATGATGACCATCCTGCAAGGGGAGACCACGCAGGGCACAGTGACGCCGACGGGCATTGCTGACAACATCCTCAACATCACGGGTCAGTTCTGGTCGTGCAGTAATGGGTGGCACTTGACTGCACGCTGCTAAGAGAACAGGCTGGAGAAGCTGAGGAGGTTTTTGGACATTCTTGCCTGTCCCGTTAGAGGTTCAACTCAGGCCTCCTCAAGCTGTTGGGGAAATTTCACTTAAAATTTGGAGCACGGTGCCCTAGTAATTCATCCCTCCTTCCATTTTCCCAGAGTTGCCCTGGCTTTGGCAGCTCTCTCTGTGGACAGTCAAATCTAACAGTTGTTACTAAGCTCACCAATATTTTGGAGAATTGTTATTTTGGTAAATACCAACACATCTGGCTTGCAGATAATTTCCCTCCTGGTTGCAGTCAGAGGAGGGTACCAGACTGGGGCACCCAGGAGCACCATGTGAGCGTTGCCAACTAGTCACTCTTGAGGGAAGAGAAGGCAGCTGCTTTGCTGCTTTCATGTGTTTCTGAATGTTCTGCCCTTCATAGGGCAATGACTTAGTAACGTGTTTGAGTTATCCATTCCCTTCCTGGTTCCCAATCTGCTGTCCTAGTTACCTCAGAGGAGGACAACAAAGCCTGTTGTGATATCTCCACTACCAACTTTGTAGATTTGTCAAGGGACTGTAGGAAGAGTTGACAGCTTTATTTTTAGCTGAGGGCTACTGAACATTTCCTGTGTGGAAAGTCATGTGCACAGTGAGAGAGCAGTGAGGAAGGACTTGTGTGGTTATTGGGGAAGGTGTCGGATGTTATCTAGACTGTACAATTTATCAGTTTCTCTGTTGGTTCTTCTCTTCTGACAGGTGACCTAATTCACCTTGTGAACACGATCTCACAGGAATCAAAGCCCCAGGAACTGCTTAGTGATGCCCCCAATTTTCTGCTAGCTCCCAAAGCTTACAACTTGTCTTCCAGCCTGATGCGCATCCTCATGAAGTCTCGAGTGCTTAATGAAGAGCCCCTTGAGCTGGTGGGAGGAGAAATTAAGGCCACAGGCAAGCGGTCTGACCCCTTCAACTTGCTCTGCTATGAAAACACACCCAACTGCCAGTTCTCCATTCCTCAGGCTTTCAACTCCACCCTTTCCAACCTGACCGATGTCATTCAAGTCATGTTCCAGGTGGACTCCAATCCTTTCCCGTTTGGTTACATCAGCAACTACACGGTGTCCACAAAGGTGGCCTCCATGGAGTTCCAGACACACAATGGAGTGCAGATCCCCATCGGGAGCCTGGACTCCGAGAAAGCCATCACAGTGATGGTATCAAACAACACAGATGCTGACGATCTCTCTGCTGGCACCGAAGTCATTGAAGCGAGAACATCTGTGAACCTCATTGTAACTATGGAGAGCAACAACAGAGAAGCAGGGCTGCACTTCCGGCTCACTTACAGAGTCCTGAATGGTAGCGCAGAGCCAGCGCCAGCTCTTCATGCTCCTTTTCCCGTGGGAGAGGAGGGGAGGGTGCTGCAGCAAAGGCGGGTTGCCTCGAGGGGGGACTGATATGCAGAAGCAGATGTCAGACCTAGCCAGCGAGCTCCTCACAGCACAGCAAAAGTTCTGGTTGTCCCAGGAATTGTTCAGGGTGCAGGATGATCTTTGCTCATGAATTCTGACACTGGAGGGCCTTTTGCTTTGCCTAGCCCTTCAGTGAGCCCCGTTAGCATTGCAGGGAGTTTGTCCCTCCCTCTCTAGGTCAGGGAAGATGATGTCCAAGAGCCTGTCACGCAGGGATGCTCTCAGTAGCAGACCAAGAGGGTACAGGCTGCTCAGGGATGTGCCACAGCTTTCTGCATTGCAGATGCTTCTCTCTGAGCATCCACTGCTGGCGGCAGGAGCACGGTGGAGCTCTCTGGCGTTTATAAAGCACTCTCTGTTCTTTCTCCCACTCCCCGTGCAGAGCACTACATTGCAAGCGAGCCCGAGCCATTCATCATGGCCTATCTCCACCACGAGCCCGCGCCAAACGAGCACAACTGCAGCGCCTCTAAGAAAATCAGCCTGGAGGCCCTGGCTGGAAGTGACCACAAGCTCTACACCTTCTTCACCTCCCCTGTGTAAGTGGAGCATCTTCGGGCAATCCTTGCCACCCACGTGGACATCTGGGCAGGATGCTCAGGGGCTGGCCATGGCTTATGCCAAATGGCTCTGCGGAGCAGGTGCTGTTGTAGCTGCTAAGTGTGTTCTGCTCTCCTTGGAGAAGACAGATCTCCTGTGCAGGCACCTGCAAGCTGCCGTGTCTGCATCCCAACACTGGCACCTTTCCCCTCTCGTGGCATTCCCTCCTTCCCAGCATAGCTGTGGCCACACAGTGAGGCCTCAATCTCAACAGGACCATGTCCCACAGATCTCCCCGTGGCCTGTTGCAGATACAGGGCCTGCTTCATGCAGCTCGTGACAGCACTTCTTGGGTTGAGGCATCACACACATTAGCCCTGTTCCCAAAAACAGTGCAGTCTTCCCACAGAGCTCATCTTCCCAGCGTGGAGCATGGAAAGAAGCTGAGTGTCCCCAAGGGCTTCCACCCACTGCTTGTGTGGCCCTCGCAGCATGTGAAGGCTCAGGAAGCACCACGGTGCTATCGGGGTTTGGAGCAAAGCTGTCCTCTTATCAGAGCAGTCTTTCGCGTAGCTTCACTTGCTGCCTTTTCCACGAGCATGTGTGTTCATGGCTCGTGTTATTTCCAAGCTATTCCTAGGCATTATCAGGAAGAACGATGGGCAGCTTGGGAATAGGTGGGGCAAGATTGGAGCCACTGTTGTGCAAGTTGACACAGCTTCCATGGCTTTTGGGAGCAGGATGCTCCAAGAGGGATTAATTGCCTTAGTGAGCGAAGCCTTTCTCGGCCAAAAGTCACAGAGTTGCTCTGGAAGTGTCATGTGGCTGGTGGGACGCAGTGGAGAGCGGCTGGGTGAGCTGCGATTTAATACAAATACTAAAGAATGGTTAAAGAGGTTTGTAGAGTGCCACCATTTCTGCACAGCCCAAAGGCTCTGCAAGTGACACCCCATTCAGTGTGACTTTTCCTCCCTGCCATGTGTCTGTCCACACAGACACGTGCTTTCCAGGAGCACGCTTCCATTGGGATGGGGTTTGTGTCCCTTCAGCAGGCAGGCTGATAGCGGCCCTTTGCCTTCTCTCCCTTCTGTAGCACGGATGACACCACCCAGAAGTATTACTTCAACATCACCAACCACTTCAGCTGGTCGCCGGTGGAGGTTACGCTGGGCTTGTACACCTCGCTGTGCCAGTACTTCAGCGAGCAGGAGAAGCGGTGGAAGACAGAAGGCATCATCCCGCTGGAAGAGACCCGGCCGGACCAGGCCGTGTGCCTGACCCAGCACCTCACCGCCTTCGGGGCCAGTCTCTTTGTGCCCCCGAACTCCGTCCAGTTCATCTTCCCTGTGAGTAAAGAATCAGCCCTCCCAAAAGGGCTGCATTTGATTATGATCCTTTGATTATGATGAAGCCTGGGACTACAACCAAAGCTGTGCAGAGAGCTTTGTTCTGCATTCTGAGCACCTTGCAGTGTGCTCAGCTCTTCCCTGCGATGCCAAACGCCCCTCCCAGCTGTCACCCAGGGCTCCCTTGTTCCAGAGCGTTTGCACCTGCCAGCTGCTCTCTGCCTCCCAGGGACGTTCAAGTTCTTCCTGCCCTGGCAGTGACGTGGCTGGGAGCAGAGCTGGCTGCAGCTCGCTCAGCAGGGCTCCGAGCAAGGCGCCGTGCAGGCTGCGTGGGGACAGCTCTCCCTCCCTCTGCACGTGTGAGATGTGCGTGCATGAGGAGCACGGCCAGCAACGGGGCGACACAGCTCGCGGGGAATGACAGGGCTCCTCCTGGAGAAGGAGGGTGCTTCTTCTTAATGGGTTTCTTTTCTTTCAGGCGCCAGGCCCGGGTCTCAACTACATCGTTCTGCTGACGTGTGCTGTCTGCTTCGTGACCTACTCGGTGGCTGCACTGATTGTGCACAAGCTGGACATGATTGACATTAACCGAGTGGGGGTGATTCCCTTCTGCGGGAAGAACGGGCTGTACAAATATGAGATCCTGGTGAAAACTGGCTGGGGCAGAGGATCAGGTTAGTCTATAGATTGCTCCCACATTTGATTGCCTAGAATGACATCAGTAGAGTTCCCATGAGACCTCCCACAGCACATCATGCACCAGACATTCCCCTACAGGTCCTGGTATGTCTGGAGGAGCACTGAGCAGACCATCAGTTTGGGGCTTCTCCAGCTTTCAAACAACTGCTCTGCAAGGTGGTAGAGTAACTTTCATGATGATGAGGCAGGCCAAGAGCCCTGGAGAGGAACTGACTTGGGCCTGTGGTTGCAGGAGCAGCCAAGAGACAGAAACTGTGCCCAGGTCTGATCCTGTCTTGCAGAAGCATCCAGGCCTTGTGGGCCCTCTGCATGAATCATTTTGCTGTCCCTCAGCATCACCACTTTTTACTTCCATCTGAATCTTTCCTGGCACCCTGGAAGCCGAAAGCTGGACTTTCCAATCTCTGGCTAGGAATGTAGCCAGAGATGCTAGAAACAATATTTCTGGGCTTGGAAGTCTGAGCAAGTGGGATGTGGGAGCTCTGAGCAAGGATGGAGGTGAAGTGCTGCCACGCCACTGCCAGAGACATGCTCCCATGGATCTCGGTGTAACCACTAGTTTCACTGAGAGCAGCTTTGACTTGAAACCATCCCCAAGACCATCCAGGTGGCCCAGATGGCAACCGGTACCAGAGAGAAGTCAAAGAAAACAAGTCTGTAAACTATTTGATGGAAAGAACATCCAGAACAAACATCTGCTTCCATTAGAGCGTAGCAAGGCAAGGAGCGTTAGCTTCAGTCCCCTCCAAAGAGGAAACCCATGAGGATGCCAAGGTGCACGTACCAGGCCAGCCTGAGCAGCTGCCTTCCAGGCTGTGTCTAACACTATCCCTAGGCTGGCTAATGAGAAGCCCATTCCTTCCTCCCAGGTCTCCGGGTGGCCTCTCCAAAGGACCATTGTGTCTGGTGCCAGGTCTGGGTCGGAAGGCAAGGCTGCGGGGTAACAGCTTCTCCTTGGATGGGCAGCTCTAACTGAACCCTCTTAACTCTGCCAGGTACCACAGCCCATGTGGGCATTGCCCTGTACGGGGTGGACAGTAAGAGTGGTCACAGACATCTGGATGGAGAAAATGCCTTCCACCGCAACAGCCTCGACGTGTTTCAGATCGCAACGGAGCGGAGTCTGGGGAGCATCTGGCGCATCCGGGTCTGGCATGACAATAAAGGTGAGGCACGAGCAGGCACGTGGGGCTGAGGCGGTCTTCAGTTGTCCCAGCTCACAACCCAGCTCTGCTCCCTTTGGTACCTGGGCCGGAGCAACACTGTTAACACCATGGGCTAAAGCTGGCGGGGCACCTTGGTGAGCCACTGGCTCGGTGGAGGATTGCAGGGGGAGGACATGGAGTCTCCATCACAGGGAGATCTGAAGAGCAGGTCAGCTGTAAGCCCCTCTACACGTGCAGTCCAACGTGCTTTGCACTGTGGCAGCGTCAGTAAATGCCTGTACAGTGTGGGCCCGAGCCCTTCTCTTGGTGTAGCGTGCAAGCTTCATCACTGGCTTTCCTGAGAGTTTCCCCTTTGAAGATTCTCCTTGTGTTGGCCTTTGGCTTTGTGGGCTCGTGGAGGGAATGTCTGCTGTGAAACACATTGCCTTGTTCCTTGGTTGCAGGACTGAGCCCCTCTTGGTACCTGCAACACGTCATTGTGCGGGACCTGCAGAGCAGCAAGAGCTACTTCTTCCTGGTCAACGACTGGCTGTCGGTGGAGAGCGAAGAGAATGACGGCATGGTGGAGAAGGAGGTGTACGCTGCCAGTGAGTGCTCAGCTGCAGGGTGTGGGTCTGGGGCGCTGCGCAGTGGGGCAGCCCCAGCGGAACGGGAGGGCCACTGGGTGCAACTCTGCAGGGACATCGTGGACCCTCCGCACTGACCCTCCTGGGTCTTCCTGCTAGAGTGCGGTACAGGCAGAGATCTGGAGGGCAGGAGGCGCTGTATAGGCACAGCGTGGAGGTCCCCTTGGATATCAGCCTGGGAGGAGAGGCCGTGCCAGGCCCTGCAAGGTCCCCTCTGTTGTGTGCAGCCAGCCCCTAGCGCCTCTCTCTGTGCTCAGGTGAGACGGAGCTGCGGAGCTTCTCGCGGATCTTCACAGCAGAGCTGCAGCGGGGTTTCTTTGAGAAGCACGTCTGGCTCTCCATGTGGGACCGCCCGCCGCGCAGCCGCTTCACCCGCGTCCAGAGAGCCACCTGCTGCTCTCTGCTCATCTTCCTCTTCCTCTGTGCCAATGCCGTGTGGTACGGCGTGGTGGGCAACGTACACCTCAGGTGCGCTCTGTTCCTTCTGCTCTGGCTAGTGCCCTGCTGCTTGGGGCCCTCCTGTGCTTCACTGCGTAGGACAGGATGGACTTAATGCCTGCCCAGAATAGGTGCCCTGCATGGGGCCTTGAGGCTGCCCTCCCTGTTCCAAGGAATCTTGGGTCAGGATGTGGATCATGGAGGACCACGGACAGCCTGACGGGCTTCCCCCTTGCCTTGTCTCTCTGTGGCATCTGTTAACACAGCTCATGCCTCCTCCTTGCTTTTTGACCTGCCCTGGAGGAGTATTTCACATCGTGACAGCCACCTCAGGGCTGCCGTGGTAAAAGTGTTTCCAGGTGTTTCCCAGGACGGATCCCGCCTGGATTTGTCCTGAGGTCTGGGCTAGGTGCATTTGTGGCCTCTTGTCTGCTTGGCTGGCAGCCCGGAGTGCTCCTGCTTACACTAGTCTCCCTTCTCTCTTGATTCTCTCCAGCAACGGGGCTGTTTCCAACCTGATCCCTGTTAACGTAGACACAGTGGCTGTTGGTTTGGTGTCCAGCGTGGTGGTCTATCCTCTCTACCTGGTCATTTTATTCCTCTTCCGGATGGCTCGTGGCAAGGTAAGCGGGAGAAGTAGTTGAAGGCTGCCCAAGCAGGGTGATGCAAGGCTGGATTTGGCTCTTACATTAACAGGCGGCCTCTGCCCCTTCCTCAGTGCTGCTCTGTGCTGCCTTGCAGCATGGTCAGAGCCTTGCACTTAGTAAGACTTGGCCTCCTGGTTTTGCTGGGAGCAGCCCTTCACCTTAGAGGGAAAGATCCCCTCCGTTAGACATGTGCTGTGTGATACTGGATTATGGCAGTGCCCAGGCAGACCCAAACGGGCCGATTTTTAAAGCCATTTAGCCACTTACTGCCTCTTGATTTCAATATGCACTAGGTACCCAAATGTATTTAAAGGTGTGGCCTTTGCTGTGTTGGCAGGAGCTTGAGATGCTCATTGGAGCATTTCTAACGAAATATCTGCCTAGGAGCAGCCCCAGCTGAGCAGAGCTCTGGTTATGCAACTGTGCAAGGATCAGCTGAGGATTTAATGACTAGTTAGACACACTTGGCAACCCCAGGAAGTGCCACAGCCAGCTGCTCAGTGACTGACGAGCCACAAATGTGTCTGGTACTGGTTGTTCCTCTAAGTACTCGCTGCTTTGCAGGAGGTTACACAGTTAGGCAGCTTCCTGGGAGCTAGTGCTTGGAACATCCTGGACTGTGGTAATGCAAGACAGAGCCCCAGGTGTCCGGGAGGAGCCGCATGTGCCTTTGTTCAGCCCTGCTGTGCAGGCTGCCATCCCTCGCCCTGCAGCTAGAAACACGCTGCTCCCCAGCAGAACAGAGAGCTGGGCAGCAGGCCCCGAGCCACGGCTGTCACCTCCACCCGTTCCTTCCCTGCTCAGGCCTCTCTGTCTCCTGCAGGTCTCCATCAACCACACCGTGACTCACTCGGACCAGCAGTCCCTGGAGATCGACAACTACCTGGACTCTTCCATCCTGGAGAGCTCCTTCCTCACCTTCCCAGGGCTCCGGGCAGAGGTAATGCCGTTCACACCTGCAAGCTGAACACGCTGAGTGGATCTGTGCTTCCCGCAGCCCTCCTGTCCCAGACCCAGGGTCCCCTGAGGCTGCCAGTGTAAGAGCTGGTGCCTGCTTGCAGCGCTGGTGCCTGGGGAGAGCCCCAGTCCCTTGCCTTTCCTCACGTCTCCCCCCAGCCTCCTGGGGTGCTGGGCACAAGCAGGTACCTAGGAGCACGGATCCTCACAGCGTGCCCGGGCGCTGCCTCCCGGGGACAGGAGGCACCTGGCAGCGCAGACCCAGGGCCAAGGGCCGCTCAGGCTCCCCGTTTCCAGTAACTGCCTGCTGCCCTAACCGGGCATCGGCCAGTGTCATGTACCTGAAACATTTCCCACTTCCTCCCCAGGCCTTCTCGGAGCAAACCAAAACAGATCTGTTCCTGGAGGACTCCAAAAGGTAAGTGGGGTTTGGAGATCAGAGCAGGCAGGAATTCAGTGTTTTCTCTGCTTTCAGCCTCCCACACATAATTTGGTCTTTTCCAGTGCTGTAGGCCAGCAAATGTGAAATGCTCTTTCACAGTTTATGTTGTTTCGGGTGGGAGACTGCTGGGCCATCAAAGGCCAATTGCCTGCAGGTGTGGAGTGCTGCTCGCCTGGCTTTTATTAGCGCAGATAACTGCTGGTTGTAGGGGCTGAGGAGGTTTAGCTCCCACCAGTCTGGTTCCTATGAAGGCTGTATCTGAGCAGCAATGCAGAACCCTCTGCAGATGATGATAAAGTGGCCTTGTGCCCTGTAGCTGCGGGGCAGGACTGCACAACTGCACACCCCTGTGGTTGCCTTTCCCGTGGCCCACGCTTGCCTGCTTAAACTCAGTGCCTCTCTCTTGTCGCAGCCTCGTGCGGTGGCCCTCCAGCGAGGCCCTGCTCAGCTGGCCAGACCTCCTCAGCGACCCCTCCATCATGGGCAACACCATCCAGAAGCTGAAGAGAGGCCGGGGCAGCCGCCACCTCGGGCTGGAGGCCCCGCTGGCGACCGAGGAGGACACCTTGTCACTGGGGGTTCACCAAGGGCAGCCCCGATATTTCTCGGCCTCAGGTGGGTGTTTGAGCAGTGCTGCCCCTGCTGCACCTCTCTGCCACAGCCCAGCCTGGAGCAGCCTGGTCCCTGGGAGCCCTGGCTCTGCTCTGGAGAAGGCAGGGGAGCAGAGGCTGTTGCCATTGCTTCTGGCTTCTGTTTGAGGGGAGGAGAGTCAGATTTTCTTGATGGTAAATTCACTTTGGAAAGCAGAAGTCCCGATGGATGTGGATTAGTTCGAAGTGAGTGGTCACTGCACTGCCAGCAAAGTAGGAGCAAAGAGAGACGTGTTCCCAGGGGATCTGAATGTTGCAAGCAATGAGCACTTCACTGGTTGCAAGGCCATCGTGCTCTGGACCTGTGTGAATGGCTGGAGAAGAAGAGCTTGGCCTCCCATGCCAGCAGTTTCATGACCGACTCTACAGTCAAACGGGAGTAGACAGGAGCTGGAAGACAGGGAGGGTGGATGGCTCGTTCCATGGAGAAGGATCCTCCAGTTATGTGCACCCAGACCTCTCCTGTCCCTAGCTGATCATAGGCAGAACTGGGTGCAGTATCGTGTGCTGCTCTCTCCTGGCTGATGAGCTCGCTCGCTCTTTCCCCAGATGAGGATCTCATACGACAGATCCTAGCAGATGGAGCTGGTGGCATCTCCCACTCCCAGGACGTGGGGCCCTACGTGAGGGCTGAAACAGATCTGATTTCGGGCCTGTAAGTATCGGGGAGCAGGGTTCCCCGGACACAAGCGGTGCCTCGTGTTCCTTGTCCTCCATCCAGCTGTGCCACACAGCTGTGAGCTGAGCTGGACTCTGACCTTGTAACTGCCCAGGACAGCCTGGTCGCACAGGCACTGTGGTCCTGCTGGCACCAACTCCTGCAGCCCCCACAGCCCTGCCTGCCCCCAGGACCCACCTGGAATGTCCCCTGGCTGAAGACGTGTCCCTGTGTCCCTGAAGACGTGTCCCTGTGTCCCTGAAGTGTCCCTGGGGCTTTGTGGGCTGCTGCCAAAGTACCGGCATGTTGATCTAGTTCAGTGTGGACAGAAGGGAGAAGGGGATTTGAACCCTGCTCTGTCTCTGTGCCCAGAGCCACCCCGCTTTGGGACATGGGCTGGCGGCTCCCAGCTGGGTAGCCAGCGCAGAGGAGCAGGGTCAGGCTGGGGAAGGGATTCCAGCTTCCCAGGGGATGCCCAGCAGAACATCCCAGCACCTGAGCATTAGAAGATGGAAGTGCTTCTGGGCAGCCCTGGGGCTCTGTTCCAGCCGCAGCGCTGCCTTGGGCCGGGCACTGGCACAGCTCACCCACGGCACCGCTTTGCCTTGGCAGGTCCAGCGTGTTCGGGGAGAAGGTTGAGACCGTCATGATGCAGAAGCTCAACGAGAAGGGCCAGAACGTGGCAGCCCCTCCCAGGGAAGTGAGCAGATCAGCCAAGTCAACCTGGACAGGTACCAGAGGCACCAGAGTGTCCAGCACGGGGGCCTGGCGTGGGGAGGCTGAGGATGTGCAAAGAGGGACCTTCCCCCAGCAGCAGTTGGGAAGAAGATAAATAGAGGAGATTTAGGAGATTCTGGTCTCTTCCTTGGGTTATGTTTGCTATTTCCTGCCAGTTTGGAGCAACTTCTCTATGATCCCCAAATCCCAATAGATCCTAGGCCTTTTGTTTTGTGGGATCTGCTACTGTACCTGCTAGGGAAGCTCCACCTGCAGCTTCCCCATTGCTCTGTTCTCTGCAGCCCTCAGCTTCATTCAGCCTTCCTAAGGAGGAAGAGCGAGACCCTCTGTGCACAGCCAGAGGGAAAAGGAGTCTGATGGCAAAGAAAGCTGAAGGCAGTGAGCAGGGAGAAGAGCTGCTTCCTACGGGGTCATGCAGGACAGCAGCCAGGCAGTGCCCAAGACGGGGCCAGAGTGTCCTGCCCTGGCAAGCTCTGGGTGCTGATCAGTGCTCTGTGTCAGGCCCAGGAGGGAAGCTCAGTGTCAGCTCTCTTAGGCTGAGCTTTGGCTTCCTGAGGCACAGCTGCTGAAGGGCAGGCTGCAGCCCAAAAAATGGGGCACAGCAGCAAGCCTCTTGGGGCTGCTAAAACCATCGGTTCCTCTTGCTTGACGGCTGTCTGTAGTGTCTGTATGCCAGGCTTAATTCACATGGGTGGATGCAAGAAGCTGGGTCTGAGCAAGCCCCAGGCCAGGGTGGCTTGGCAGGCTGAGAGGCCAGCAGTTGAGAGGGCATCTCCAGGCTCCGCAGTCTGTGTGGCTTTTAGTGGGTTTGGGAATAGCACCTCTAGCTAGTTCAGTCCTGGACATGCCCTATTTCCTGGGGCCCTGATGGAAAGTAGGGAGCAGAGTCCATCTTCCAGCTCCCATCTCTTCCTCCTGCCTGCTTTGTGCTGTGTGCGTATGGGAAGCAGTGCTGTCCACACTGCCCACCTGGTGTGTGATGATGAGTGATGTGCTGGGAGGAGTCACTGCCCAGCCCCTCTTGCATTCATTTGGACCCTTTTGCGGTCACATTTACTCTTGTTTTCCTTCCCCAGTTGCAGACCAGACATTCAGGAAGCGTTTGCTGCCACCCTGGTGCTCCTATCTGGCCCATGGCATCTGTCTGCTCATCTTCGCCACCTCCACGGGGGTCTCTGTGTGGATCGGTGTGGGCTTTTCCTCCAGCGTTGCCCTCATGTGGCTCATCTCAGGGATATTCAGCTTTTTGGCCTCCTTCTTGGTCTGGGAGCCCCTGAAGGTAAGCAGAGAGTGAGGACGGGCTCGAGCATGTTACCTGCATGCATGTACACATGTACACATGCATGCACACGTGTGCAGCTTCCCGTGACCACCCGCATCCCTCCACTCTGGATTAGCCAGTGCCTTGGAATCATTTGCCTCATCAGTAATTAGCTTGCCCAAATACTAATCAACTCCTGGTGGAGCCTGAGTGGCCTGAATTCTCTCCCCCATCTTCACTGCTTGCAGTGATGGAGCAGACACACACGGGCAGTAGGAGAGCAGAGCTGGTGCTCTTGTGCTGGGGTGGTCGAGCTGCTCCACAGCAGTGCCCGTGCTCGAGGCAAGTGGGAGCTGCTGCCTGCAGGAGCTGCAGAGGGAGCTGGCCTGGCCCTGCCTCGTGCTCCTGGTGCTCCTCGTCTCTCCCAGGTTCTCCTGGAAGCCCTCTATTTCTCGCTGGTCGCCAAGCGCCTGCACCCAGAGGAAGATGACACCTTGGTGGAGCACCCGTTTGTGGAGCATGTTTCTGAGAAGATCAGCAAAGTCCGACCTCCGCAGGGGTTTGCGCTTTTCCAGGCCAAGGAGGAGGCCAGGAAGGTCAAACTGCTGCACAAGATGCTGAAGGTAACGTGTCTGGTGGTGCTAAGGCAGCTCCAGGAGCGGAGAGGCATCTTTGTACGGGCCCCGGGTCTGTCTGCGATCCCCTGTGCTCTTTAAGGGGCGCTTGTGTCCAACCTTCACCTCAGTGCCCCCAGCTGTAGAAGGCAGGTAGGGACACTCATCTTCTCTGTGAAGCTCTTGGAGATCCGAAGTGTCAGGAAAGCAGAACCACGACTGAATTGCTGCCTCTCCTCAGATTGGGGTAGAGAGCGTGTTCGTAGCGTGCAGTAACGCGGAGGTTTGAGGTTAGAGGAAGGCCTGCAGCGTGGAGCATAGGCCAGCTGCGGGCCAGTGCATGGGCCAGTGCATGAGCTGAGTCTCATGAAACACAACTCCCTGCTTGGGAGCAGGAATTTCCATCTTTTCTCAGATAAATCAGTGCTAATCTTCTGCGCTGGTGCTGGGAATGCACACCTACTTTAAAGGAGTTATTTTTAACCGTGTGATCTCCCTTTAAAGGATGGAAATGCTCCGAACTGCTGTGCACGCCAAGCTGCCAGCATATAGGAGCTAGTACGGGGAGGTTGTGCAATGCAGACGGACTGAAACATGTGGTACTGGGCTGGTTGCCTTGAAAAAACAGAATATTGGTATGAGCCTGTGGTCTGGCTTTCATTTTAAACAGCCTCCCATATGGGAGGAATAAAAAATAGTGTTCTGTGAGGCCCAATCCTGCTGCATGGCACTGCTGGGGAGCATCGATTTGTGTCGGGAACAGGATTGGGACCCAACCTGGTGCTGTGCCTGGGTGTGATCTGCCTTTCTGTTCTCTGCTTTGCCAGAACTTCCTCATCTACATGTTGTTCCTGCTGGTGATCCTGCTCACCAACTACGGAGATGCCTCCCGCAACAGCAGGACCTTCCTCCTGCAGAGCTCCATCAAGCAGCAGCTGGGCAGCAACGAATTCCTCCGCATCAAGAGGTAACCCGAAGGGGCTGCCGTGGTCGGGTAAGCGGAGCAGGGCTGCAGCAAGGAGCTGGGCAGCGGACACGTCTCTCGAGCCCACAGCAGGGCTGACGTGGAGCGAGCAGGTCCCTTCCTCTGCCCACCTTCTGTCCTGGAAAATAGAAGGGCTTGCAGGGACTGAGAGCTTTAATTCCTTTGCATTTTGGAGCTTCTCAGCGGGAAGGGGCTTTGTGATTTACAGATGTTTATCTTTCTGTGTCTGGTGAAAAGGACACAAGTTTGTTCTATTTGCAAAAGAAAAAAAAAAACTTGTAACTTTAAGGTTTAGACGTAAACAAGCTCATGAGAACCAAAAATAGCATGTGATGTAAATGCAAAGCCCTTCTCTTCCTTTCTCTGCACTTACAGTTTAACTAGATGAGAACTTCCCAGTTGAGTTTCCCATTGCTCTAAACCCCGTCTGTTTGCCACGACGTTGGGATGGCTGCCGGGAACCGACTCTCTCGGCACCCACCTTCCTGCAGACCTCTTGATGGGGCTGTGCAAGTAAAATTTGGCCTGCCCATGCTGTACCCTCACAGCAGGTTTGATTCACAGCAGCATGAATTGGGAATGACTCCCTTGAACTCCTGAATGACAGCGGCGTAAAGAGGAGAGCAGACTCTGCTTCTGGAAGCCCTTTCCATGGGGCGCACTCAGTTTCCCTGAGCTCTTGTTTGTCTAATATCTGTTGTCCCGACTCCCCTGCCCCAGCTCAGAGGTAGAGCAGGGCTGCAAATGCTGCCTCTCCGTTGATGGAACTGCGATGCTGGGCTCCCGCAGAGCCCCCTCCCGAGACCCCCAGCCTCCGCCTCTGTCTCGCTGCAGGTCGGATCAGTTCTGGGTGTGGATGTCGCAGGTTTTCCTCCCGTTTCTCTACAACAACCGGTCGGGGCAGGAGAGCTACAGCACCACGCTGGGGGCAGCCCGGCTGCGCCAGCTCCGCCTGCGAGAAGGTGGGTGCCACGTGGCCGGGGCTCTGCCGTCCTGTGCAGCTGGTAGCCCTTCCTGCAGGGGTGAGGTGGCCAGGGCTGGATGCAGCGAGGGCTCCGAGCGAAGCACAGATGTTGTGCAAGTTCCTTTTTATCCCGCTGGCATAAATCTTAACGTGCCTCTGGCTGCAGGGCGGTCACGAGGATGGAGGGGAGTCGCGCTGAGGAGGGCGGTCGGGCTCCACCTGCGGGGGTGGCCCTGGGGGTGCAGAGGGAGGCTTGGGAAGGAGCGGGACGAGCGGAGCCGGGCCCGGCACGCAGACGGTGATGGGCTGCGTGTCTTGCAGGCGAGTGCCAGCGCACGGCTCGGGCGCTGCTGCGCGGGGCGCGCGCCGACGGGAGCTGCAGCGGCTCGGGCGGCTTCTCCACCGCCCATTACGGCACCGGCTGGGCACGGGCGGCCGGGAACCGGACAGCAGCCTGGTCCTACTCGCCTCCCGACCTCACCGGGTAAGGAGCTGCTGCCCGCGCCACGTGCCGAGGCCATTGAGGCCTTTCTAAGGATGTGATGGCCTGGGTGGTTCCCAGCTGTCCCCTCGGTGATGCTCGGGCTCCATAAATTCAGGGTTGCCCAGGGCTTTCCCGGGTGCCTCCTGAGCTCTGCGCTGGCTGCGGGAGGGCCGGGGTCCCGCGGTTCCTTCTGCCTCGAGCTCCCAGGGCCACCATGTCCCCACGGGCTGGGCAGCCGCGGGGTAACCTGCAGGAGGAGGGAGCTGAGCCCCGCTGCGGAGCCCCAAGGGCGGCCCTAGCTCAGCTTTCTGCAAAAACAGGTTCGGAGCTTTGTCGGCTTTTCAGCTTTACCAGCATGCCGACAAACTGCGTTTCATTTCTGCTCTGAATTACTCCTGGACTCTTGTTTGTCGGAGTCTAGGGCAGCACGGGGGCTGCTCTGAGGCTGGGAACCCCTGCAGACAGCTCAGGGCGGGCAGTGACGGTGTCGGGGAGAGACAGGGCAGATGTTACAGAGGCTGCTTTCTCTCCTGCCTCCCCTTCTGCAGGGTCTGGTACTGGGGTTACGTCTCCTTCTACGATAGCGGTGGTTACGTGCAGGAGCTCGGGCCTTCCCTCGAGGAAAGCCGGGCGCAGCTCGCCTTCCTTCAGCAGCACTCCTGGATCGACAACATGTGAGTGCGGCGGGGCGGAGGCGGTGCCCTCAAGTGGCACTGCTGGGCTGTCCCGGGGGAGAGGCTCTGCGGCCCTACAGAAGGGCAGCCCCAGCTCTCCGGGCCGATGCCGGGCCGGGCCCCTGAGCCCCTCTGTCGCGTCCGCAGGAGCCGGGCCGTCTTCGTGGAGCTGATGCAGTATAACCCCAGCGTGGACCTGCACGCGGCCATCACCCTGCGGCTCGAGTTCCTGGGCGCCGGCCAGGCCGTGGCTGCTGTCACCATTAGCCCCTTCCCGCTGCTGCGGCTCAGCGGGGGCGTCACCCTGCAGCTCCTCATGATGGTCAGTGCAGCTCCTCCTCTTCCTCGTTCCCTGCACAGGGAGCCTCCTGGACCTGTCGCTCCTGGCTCTAGCTCAGTGTGACCGTGACAGGTCACCTCGGGCTCAAGGTTGGCTGTAGGTGCCATCCTTTCCACCTTGGCTCCGGGACAGGGAGCTTCCTTGCTGGGATGGGAGAGTGGGGGCACTGGAGGAAGGCCTGGAGGCAGTCGGGGCTGTGGGCTCTGGCTGAAGAGCTGGGACTTGGGGTTCTGCTGTCCCAGGGAGCTGTGGGCTCCACCAGGGCAGCGCCGTCAAGCGCAGCCCTGTCCTTCCCCGGCAAGCCTTCTTCTCCCCACCAGGTCTTCCTCATGATGTTCGTGGTCTACTTCGTGGTGTCCGAGTCGCTGTCCATCAAGAAGGAAGGCAGGGCCTACTTCACCCTGTGGGGCCACTATGGCCAGTGGGTCTTCATCCTGCTCACCACGTGCACCGTGGTGGTGCACCTCAGCCAGGCCACCCTCGCCGACCAGCAGTGGCTCAAGTACCTCAACAACCGCAAGGGCTTCACCAACTTCTACCAGGTGGCCTTCCTCAACACAGTCTTCAGCACCTTGGCTGCCTCCCTCCTCTTCCTCCTGACAGTGCAGGTATGGAGAGGGCTGACGATGCAGGGCGAGGGTGTATGGTGCAGGAGCCGCATCCGCGCACGTTCCCCCAAGGCTGCGGTGCGGGGTCTGTGCCCACGCACGGGGCGGAGGCTCCGGCAGCAGCCTCTGCTGCTGGGCCTCCGCTCCCCGGGTAAGCGGCGCCTCTCGCTCGCAGGCCGCCCAGCAGCTGCGGTTCGTCAGGCAGTGGTCCGTGTTCGGGAAGACCATTCAGAAGTCCGCGAAGGAGCTGGCGGCGGCGGGGCTGGCGTTCACCGTGCTCATCCTGGCCTACACACAGCTCGGCTTCCTGGTAACCACCACTGCCTCTGCCACCCCCGTCCCGCCGCGCGGGGCGGCCGCTTGTGCGCAGGGGGCACCTGTGACCTCCATCTCTGCCATCCTCCTGTCCCACCACGCGGGGTAGCCGCTTGTGAGCAGGGAGCACTGTCACAGGAGGGGACACGCTGGGCAAGCAGAGCCCAACAGGCCCCGCTGGCGTTTGCGAATCCCAGCTGGATTTGTCTGGAGCAGAGGAGGCTGCTGGAGCTGGGGGCTGTGGCGGTGACATGTCCCTGTCCTGGCTGCTCGGAGCTCAGGCTTTGAAGAGGGGTGGTGGGTGGCAGGCACAGGGGGACACTGCCACTGAGCGATGTGTTTCCTGCCCTCTCTCTCGTGCCCCTTGCAGCTTTTCTCCTCCTCCTCGGAGTCCTTCCGCAGCATGGGCAGCAGCCTCCTGCTGCTCTTCGCCATGGTGCGGGGCAGCGCCAGGCTCTGCCCCGGCCTCCCCGAGCCCTCCGGCCTCTACCACGCGTTCTGCGCCAGCTACGTGGCCCTGGAGGTGTGGATCGTGCTGAGGCTCTTCGCGGGGGTGCTCATCGCCAGCTACCGCGAGATGCACTTCGAGCTCTACCGGCCGGCCTTCGAGCCGCAGGACTACGAGATGGTGGAGCTCTTCGTGCGCAGGCTCAAGATGTGGATGGGCTTTAGCAAAGCCAAGGAGGTAAGAGCGGCCCTGGGAGGCGGTGAGGGAAGGAAGGGGCTCAGCAGCAAGCGACCAGCTGCAGAGGGGCAGCAGCCGCTGTCCTTGGGCTTCCTTTGCTCCTGTCCCCTTCCCCTGCTGCTTGCAGACGGGTCCATGCCAGCCCCTCTGGCAGGAGAGGGATGGAGCAGCGGCTGCTCCTCGAGGCCCCAGAGCCGGGCTGGTGATGGGGTATTTGCTGCTGCTTCCCTCCCACCCCTGCATTTGGTGGGGGGACCTGTCCCCAGGCCCGTGCAATGGACTCAGCCCCCAGCAGCGGCCGGCAGTGACACGGTGGCTGGCTGGAGAGGATGCCGAGGGCCAGCCCTGGCCTAACCTCGTTCTCGAACCCTCCTTGTCTTGCAGTTCCGCCACAAGGTGAGGTTTGAAGGGATGGAGCCCCTGCCCTCGCGAGACTCCAGCGACTCCAAGTCCTTCCGCGGCCCCACTCCCAGCGCCGCCTCGGACAGCTCCAGGGCCTCCACGTCCTCCAGCCAGCTGGACGGGCTCAGCCTCGTGCTGAGCACCCGCGACAGCCTCGAGGTGGACGCCGACCTCCAGCGGCTCCTGTCGCTCTTCGAGATGCTGCTGGCGCAGTTTGACCGCGTCAACCAGGTGACGGAGGACGTCTACCGCATCGAGCACCAGCTCGAGGGCTCCCGCTGCTGCCGCCGGAGCCCGGCGCAGGGGCCGGACGCTGGGCCCCGCAGGTCGGAGCAGGGGCCCTGGCCCGAGCGCTGCCCGGCCGTGGCCGCGTCGCCCCCACGGGACTCGCTGCTGTCCCCGGTGCGCGCGGCC